AATAACTGTTAAAACGACTCAGCATTGATACTCGAACGTACACTAACGATTCACCAACGAATGCCAGCGGCTATCATTTCTCACCAATGCTAGGGATAGGGACGCAGCCGGATCCAAGACCAGGCGCTGCTGCTGCTGCTGACGTCGGGGACGTTTTGGGGCGCTGTCACTGCAGCCGCTGTTCGCGCTGACGTTAACGTTGACGCCAACGCTGGCGCCGCTGCCATTGCTGGCGTCATTGTTGTTGTTTATCGCACACACCATTTTTATCTTATAATAAGCCCAACGAACGCTGCAAAGCTCTCGACCTGGACGTCGCACACATCGACGCATCCACTGCCAAATCAATACATATATATATATATATATATATATATATATATATGATATAATATATATAAATGATATATATATATAATTTGCAGTAACAGCAGCCAATTTTTATCCTTCTATTATTTCTTTGGCGACGCAGTCACCAAACGGAATAGTCTATGGAGTAGAACAGCCGACTGCGGATCGTCAATTGACCTCGCGGAAAATTTTTATTTCTCAAACGTGAATATCAACAGTGATTGTGAAACAACAACAACAAAAGCTTTATGATTTGAATATTTCCTCTTTGTTCTTGAATTTATTCAAAACAAATAATCTACAAGAATGGATCTATCACGACAGTTTCTGTGAAGAGTCCGACTCTACCTCAACTATAACTGAAATTACTATGTTGCAGTGCCCTGCACGTGATCGATAGGCGATAGACAAAGTATCGATCTTTCAAACAGAGCTGTGATAGAGCCATTCAAGTTGTTGCCAAGCTCCATTTACTCAAAACCGAAACTCCCTCCCCCATCTCCCATTTGCCACTCTCCTTCTTTCTAATTGCAGATCATCATAATTTAAAACAACAAAACAATAGACCAAACAACGTTTTCAAAGCCAAAAACATTTGCTAATCTGAAAGCAGATATAACAATAGAACAAATGCCAACTCAACCATAATTCAGTTTTGAAAAGCAATAGAACGGATACAGTTAAAGCCTCAGTTAACAATTTTCATAAAAACAATAATAACAAGCAACAACAATAATAACAACAATTTAATAACTCGAACCCAAAGCCAACCCAAAAAAAGCGACAACAAAAATGTGTTAATGAATTAGTAACTAAAATTATTAGAATATTGCAAAATTGAAATCAAAAGTACAAAGTTAAACTAACTACAGAACGCGAAACGAAACGAACAATTCACAATTAACAATTTTGATAACGAAACAAAATGCAAAAATCAAGTAAAAACTCAAAAAAAATATATATATTTTGAAAAACAACGAAAGCAATTTGTGTTCAATTTTATTTTAGCAAAAATCAGTCGAAACTTCGATCAAAAGGTCGCAAAAAATATAGATAATGAAAACTAAAGCTAAGGAAACAAATCAATTTAAATAATTAAAAGATGCAAAGCAAATAAGAAATATAAAAATAAACATTAATTTAAAAAATAATATATATAAAAAATCGTAAATTAGACAATAAATAAATATAATAAAATACAAATTCAACTCTTAATTAAAGAAAAAAATAAAAATAATAAATTCTAAATTAAACAAACATAAATACATATAGTTTTCATTATCGTTTAGAACTTTGTTTGACACGTTTTCTGTATTCGTTTACGAAAAGAAGGAGAAAGGAAATCAGAGAAAAGAAGAAGCAGCAGCAGCTAAGGTTAATACAAACAACTAGCATAAGCATCAGTAACTAACTAACTAATCAATAACTAACCATAGCTAAGCCCAGACTCTAACGGCAATTTGCAAGTGCAGCCCAACGATTAGCATCAAAATAACTCCACTCTATGCAGATCGAGAACACACTGACACCGGAACAAACAGTTTTCAGTACCATTTACCATATAGCTAGCATTTACACACACACCCCGCCACACCCTCTCACAGACACACACACACAGACAGAGGGTCATATATATATATATATATCTATATATATATATATATATATATATATATGAATGCAGAAGCATCGCTTGAAAAAACCATATTATTACTACGACAAAAAAATGAATTTTATACTAAATTAAAAAATAAGTCTAACTTAAAATACATAAAAAAATTAAGAATAAAACAAACTGCAAAAAGGAATAAATTAAACTAAAATTATAATACTCTAAAATATACGATATATAAAATATATAATAACATAGAAATAATAAGACTAAGTGCGTAAAGTAAACAACTTTCAGTTCAGTTTAACTAAGAAGCATAGTAAATGGGATATATCTAAATGAAGATTTATCTTGGTGAACATTGACAAGTTAAGGAACCGCAGCGAGAGACAGAGACAGAGAAACACGAAACACAACAAAGTCAAATAATTTGGGTGATATTTTTGGCCTAAACAAAATCAAAAACAAAAACAGAAACAAAAACAAATTGTGATCATAAATATAAAAGAGAAAAACTATCTAAAGTAAAGAAGAGAAATTTAAAGATACAAATTAAAAACGATCTTCAAATAATCAAAAACAAAACAACAAAAAACAGACGAAAATATGAAGAAATTACGATATTGCGAAACGCAACGTGTGCCTTATATTCCGGCCTTAAGTTCAAATTAGTTTCAATAAACCATAATAATAGTAGTACTTAAAAAAACAGTAACTCTAGTATGAGCCTCAACATATAGATGCAAGGTACTGCGATATCAAGGAACTGCGCGGCGCACTAAGGTTTAGGAATGGTTACAATTCCAAGGTAAGTTCCATTCACAAATGATAATTATATATTTTTGTACTTCTCTTTACTATAACGAATAACATGAAAAAACCTGATATATATAAATATATATATATATATATCTATCAATAGAATAGATATCCGACTAGTTTCACAGGCCGAGTGTGGGACTTTTTAACATGTTATGTTATCACGGAGATCACAGAGCACTGTTATGTTAATGCATACGAAGAATGCAGTCGAGTCTAACTTGCTCAGTTGTATTTAGCAGCTGCATTTACTGTTACCTTCCTTGGTGTTACTCTCTGCTAGTGGTAGTGACGCCGCTGCTGCTGCTTCTGCTGAGTAGCAAGGCCACAACAGTTGAAGCCAGTGGTCGTAACTGTGACTGTGCCAGCGCCAGCGCCAGTTGCCGGCTCGCAAGAGTAAAGTTTAAGAGAAAGCGCACGTGAGTCAAGACTCTTGACGTTGGCGTCGACGCTGGCGCTGGCGTTCGCCACGAAGACGTTGCGCCATGTGCCGAAGATGGCACGGAACATGGGCCACGAAGACGTTTGACTTACTTTGCTCTGCCGCTGCGAACGTACCAATATATAAGCGGCTCGCGTTTTGCTTTTCCTTTTGCCTTTTACCGTTAACGTTGCTGCTGCTCTCAAGTTCTATTTCTAAGCACGCAAAGATGCCTGTGTTTGTGCCTATGTGTGTGTGTCCTGCTTGCGAACCTTCAGCGACATTCATATTTATACTTGTTCGAGGCAGCGACAAAATTAGTTTTTCAATGACTCGCGCACCGCCAGGTTATCCTTATCTCCTGTCTCTTGTTGGGAACTACTGTATGTAAAAGAGCCCGTTAGCGAAACTCAAAACGCGTCTGTTCCGCAAGGACTGTGTAACTGTTCAGTTCAATTGAGTGTGTGAAACATGTTTCGATTTGCTGATTGCTGGCCGCACAGATCCATATCGTATTGCTACGATCTTCAGCGCGATTGGAATTAAATCGAATATCGTGTATCGTATATCAAGCGAGTATGTCCCAACTCCAATCAAAATAAACTCTCATAGATCAGTGTTCAATACATATTGTGTGTGTGTGCGTGCGCGTGGGTGTGTGCGTGTATGTTAGTGTGTGTGTGCGTGTGTGTGTGTGTGCATGTGCTCAAATATGAACTGACTAATAATATAATGTTATATTTCAAGCAATAATCTTATTTGAAACTTAATATTTTTCACAATGTATTTGATATATAATTTATTTTATATTATAATTTATAATTTTAGCTTTTATTATTTTGTTCCCTATTTTGAACCTTTTAAATTTACCTCTGCTTAATTAGTTACTTTTAAAATATATTTTTGTAATTTTTTTTATTTTCATTTTTATTTTAATTTAATTTTTTGTAATTTTAAATTTTTGAATTATTTTTCCATTTAATATACGAATATATATTTAATTAAATATTATTAATATAATTAATTTTTATTATTAATTATCATTAATTTTATTATTAATTATATTACCTTTTATCTGTTTTTAATAAAAATATATTTTGGTGAATGATCTTAAAAATTCGTGTAAACGAAACAATGCGGAAGAAACAATACCCTCCTGAGAGACTTATGGGTCAGAGACATACATATATATATGTAGAAAAACAAGGTGAAGTATATAAGATGGATGGAGATAATTTCCGAGGCGTGATATCCCAGTTTTGAATACGTAACTCGCTTCGCAGGCTTCCGCAGGACACAACTTCAAGAAAATCTTATAATAGATATAATTGGCATAATAATTAGAGTAGTACTATCGCAGTGGTAATACCAATACCAGTACTAGTAAGGTCTAAATAGTCTCTCAATCTCCGGGCAATACTATATGAAGAAAATAGAGTTAATAATTTAGGCATATATCATTAAGAGACTTTAGTGTATTCAATGTGATTATTTTTGGAACTTTTGGGGTTAACATATCGTAAAGTTAGCTCTAAGACAGAGTTTGTAACTGTTTTTTTACCTAATTGTATTGCAGGTCCTTGGAACATATCCAACCCAGCCCTGGATCCCGAGGAACTGATATTTCGATCGCAATTAAGGATCGACGAGTGGCTACTGCTGCAGTTCAACAGCGGCCAGCGGCAGGAGCAGCAACGCAAAGCCAGTCTCCGGTTCGAGGAAACCGACACGGACACGGACACGGACACGGAAACGGAAGCGGAAGCTGAAGAGCTTCAGCTAAGGCCGTTCAACAAAATTCCTTTACGTATGTTTAAAATGGATGCCGCTGATTTCTGGCAGCAAGCGCGCGCGCCCTTCTCCCTGCACCATCAGCAGCAACAGCAACAGCGACAGCAGCATCAACAGCAACAGCAACAGCAACAGCAACAGCAACAGCAGCAACAACAGCAGCAGCAACAACAGCAGCAGCACCATCATCAACATACGCACCCGCACCCGCATCCACATCCGCATCCACATCCGCATTCGCACCCCATAGCCGCTCAGCAGTCGTCGACCGCCAACAATAACCACCTGCCATTGCATAGCAAACTGGAGCAGCAGCAGCAACAGCCGCAGTCGCAGCTCTCGCCCTCACAACAACAGCAGCATGTCGATCAGTGCTATAGCCAAGAGGCGTTTGCTGTGCAGCAGTCGCTGGCAGCAGCGCCAGCAGCGGCGTCGGCGCACCTGAGCAATCATCACTTGCTGTTTAATGCAGCCGCAGCAGCAGCCGCTGCTGCGCACCTGAAGACAACGGCATTGAATAATAGCTCAGGCATTAATTCCGTTTCCGGTTCCGTTTCTGGCTCCGGCTCCGGCTCCGTTTCCGCAACCGATCAGCTGGACAATCCCAGCAATTGCAACAGTATCGGGAGCAGTCTTCTGCCCGTAAAAACCAAGCAGGAGCATCAACCGCAATCCCAGCAGCAGCAAAAGCATTCCGACGATCCGCATCCACGGCAACCGGAGCAGGCATATGCCACGAGCTTTTTTGCCGCCTCCAGTGAGCAGCATCCGCAACAGCCTCAGACGCAGCCGCAGGCACAGACGCAGCCACAATCACAGTCGCAGTCACAGTCGCAGCATCCACATCAGCATTCGCAGCAACCGCCGCATCAATCACACAGTCCGCTGATCTCCAAGCCCATCTCACAAGGTCAACAATCGCCGCAGCATTCGATAACGCCATCTGCCGGCAGCTCGACGCCCGATATTAAGTACAATAACGAAAAACTAGCCAATGAGATTCAGGTAAAACAATCAAAATGAATCTAAAGACAATCAAATTGGTAAGTTAGACAGCTAAAAGTTAAACAAAACATTCAGCTAAACCTGCCACACGACGTGATCCTGAACAGACTGTTGAAATCACAGGAAATTAAGCAAAGCTCTGCAAGAGCCGAGCCATTTGCTGATATTCAAATTCAAAAAGCCTTTAAGAGAATCACAAATGCATTTCATTCGTTAAGGGAATTTATACTCTTGAAAGCGTAAGAGAGAGAAGAGCAGAACATAGTGTCGAAGAGACCAAGTCTCTTAAATTGCCCACACGTATTTACTAAATATGATTCCATGTATCTCATCCTTACCCCTTTACTTAGAAGTCAAAAGAGCTGAACGAAGAGAGAAGGGGTACGCGACGATGAAGATGTGTAGTAAAGAGAGTGAGTCAAAGCTCTCTTATTTTACGAGCCTTCTAGACATTTTAAATTGTGGCTATAGTCCTCTGCCTGCTTGAGAGTTAAATTTGGTCTTGAATTTTCTTCTTTGCTGCTAACAATTCCACCTAAGGTGGGAGATTTGGAGGTGGGGGAGATTGGTGATGTGGGCAGCAGCAACAAATTTCCCCTCTTAAAAAAGCGAAATTTTCAATTACCTTTTTGTCTGTTTGAAATTATAGGGACGGCAGCGTGAACAACTCGGAGAGTGAGTGAGAGAGAGAGAAAGAGAGAGTTGAAACATGAAAGGGACAAAATTCTTATCGCCTGCTTAGTTTTTTAGGTGGCTTTTTTGCCAAGTAACCCCAATTCATAAACGTCGACGTTGGCTATTTCTCCTCCTTTGTTTCTCTGTATGTGTGTGTGTGCGCCTGTCTGTATGTTTGACTGTGAATGTGTTTTGTGGCTGGGGTGGAATTTAATCTATGAGTTGATTTTGGGGTGTGAGTGAGCGCAAGTTTAGTTTTATACCACTACACAATATACATATACAACGGACACACACATACAGAGAGTCGTTATTCCTGTTCTTACGTCGGACGCTGTCCGCGGCCACTGCTGTTTCTGTTTTTGCTTTGCCTTTTCCGCGCCACATGCAGCGCGCAAGAGAGAGAGCGAGTGCTTTTGTTATTTTTTCTCGTTCTTTGCTTTGTTTTTTATGCTGGTTTTTTCCCTGAATGTAACTCACGCATAATTTCTTGAAGAAAGCAATAATAGTACGAGCACACACACACATACAAACAGAGAGATTCAAAGCGATGTCGACGAGTTAGAAAGAGAAGCACAAGTTGACGCAAGTAACGGGACTCAGAGCAGAACCGCTGGCGTCGACGACGGCGACGGCGACGGCGACGGCGACGGCAACGGCAACGGCAACGACGACGACGACAACAGAGCATAAGACGTTGCGACTGGTATCCCGTTTATGGATAAGGCGAAACGTCTGCCAGCAGAAGTTCAAAGGACATCGGGCCGTCAGGTTGTGTGTGCCTTCGCGTTTTGCTACAGTGAAATATCGTCATAGAAACAGAAACAGAAACAGTTTGTCAGTTGTAGCAAATAGGCGGTCGCGCTCTAAGTGGTATTTAAGCACCTATAATTCCAACTTATGAATCACTCAAAGACAAACGGTTAATAATCGAAATGAGTTTAGTGCCAGCCCCCAGTCCATCCAATCAAACAAAAAACACCAATCGTTGCCTTTCGAGCTTTAAAGCCGGCTTCTGGTGCCCTCGAAAATAAGCTCACACATACACAGAGACAGAGACAGACACAGACACATATAAATACATGGACAGGCATGTTGATAAACAGAGATGTGTGTACACATATGAAAAAACAGTTATTTCCACACCCACACCCACACACACACACATGTGAGTTCGTGAAGTAAACAAACAAATAATTTGACAAGGACACCGCAAGAGCTGATGAAGCTGATCCAAAGGACTCCAATTGGACTCACAGCTCTTAATCAGGTCTCCACTCACACACGCACACGCATCACGCACACACATGTCAAGTGTGCACTTGCACAGATATGCAGAGACGTGTAACGGAGCCAGCAACAAAGATAACTAAAAGCAGTCGACGCGCGCGCGGCAACAAATCAAAATATATATATACATATATGTAAAACATATATCCACACATATATATATATATATATTATTTTCTTTGATTTCCAACCTCGACTCGAACTCCTTTTGCAAAAAAAAAAAAAACAAAAAATGACTCTTGACTGTGAAAAGGAGCACGATGTAATTTTGTTTTCCAATTGAAACTCTGTCAAAATTTTAACTAACCCAACCAATTATCTATTTAGTTCTATTATAATTTCAAATTTTGGTTACTCTCTTACTCCATGAGTCGGTCGGCCCGCATTAGATTTTTAGATACAAAGATTAGAAGAGAAGTGTTGTTAGCACTTATGACTTATGATATGAAGATAATATTACATTGTTCAACGAATACAGAAATTAAACATTTCCAGTGAAAAATTCAGTTTGAACATCTTCTCCAATCCTATATCTTTTACATGTTACTAGAGTCCTGTTAGGGGAAACTCTCCAGCTTAATGGAGGGCAGATTGTCAAAGAGAAGAATTGATCGGGCAGCGACCATCTTTGAGGCTTCCCATTTTTAAGTTATTTTAATTAATGAGCTTTATTTTAGCCCAAGTTTAAAGGGCGAAACAAAAAAAATTAACTTTCTTTGAATTATATAGTAAATGTAACTGTAAATGTTGTAACCCGACTAACCGCTAATAGAGAAACGCACGTAATGTTTATTTCTTTAACTAGAATATTTCATAAGCATAAATTAAAATATAATTTATTGGTTGGCTTCAGGCCAAGTTTATGGATTTGCCAGGTCTGGACAGGTCTGCTTCACCTTGCTCCATGAGGATACTCTACGGGCTTAACTTCCACACTACGACTCAAGAAACTCTGTGCTTCGGGCCTAATCGACCTTAAAACTATAGAAATATTGTAAATGTAGTGGGCCAGCAGTAAGTCATCTGTCCGATTTGTGTACTCCGAGCCTGGCTGGAACATGTAGTTAAGACATAGTTTAAAAATCGGATTGAAGATAATAATTTAGCGAGGACATCCTGAAGGATTGACGCGCGCATGTGTATGGGCGAAGAGACGGACGGACGGACGGACGGACGGACGGACGAACGGACGGACGGACAGATGCAGGAACGGACGAATAGATGCTATGATGGCGGAGCGAACGCTCTTTCTCCTTCTTTCGGTCAACTTTCAAGTAAATTTCTGACAAAGGCAGATTTGACTTTCACAGTGAAGCTCGCATTTGATGTCGCTGTCTCTTTCTCTTATTCTCTTTGCATCACTTTCTTAATGTTGATGAAGAGATAAGTGAAGCAGATCTCCTTCTTTCCCTTCAGTAGTTATTTCTTTTCGTTTTACTGTTGAATGCCTGGAATATTGCTAATTATGATATAAAGGATATACACAACTTAATTAACTGTTTCTTATATGCATCTCTTTGCAGCTTCAGCTTTCGAGATCGAGCAGCGCTGCCGCAATCAGTGAACGAACCCTTGAAGAATGTTGGTCGACCCTGCAACGAGTGAGTTGGCATCTCTTCCGTTGTGTATAGTACTCTTCCACGTTGAAGACACAAAACACACACACACACACACACACACACACACCCCCACACCCACTCCCACACCCACACACACACACATACAAACCAGCAACTAAAGTCACATGTACATGCATATCCAATACCTTTAAGTATCTCATATATTTGAAACATATCCTAAGTTCGTGGCAAGGACAAGACGAGTCTTGACCTCTGGCTATTTTAGTTTTTAAAGTTTCTTAATGTCTATGAATATATATATATAGGTGTGTTCGAAAAGCATAGAGAGACTTCCAATCTACTTTTGGTAAACCTGATAAGGGAGTCTCCCCAAGTCGGAGGGGTCAATAGACAGTTTAAGTTTCTAGCCGTAAGACTGTTGAGTATCTATAGTTTTACCCAATTTTCCAGATATTTCATAACAGATATTTAGTCTAGGGTCATCCCCACGAGTATACCTATGTATATATTACAAGTATTCCAAGCAAATGAATCACATTTGGATGAGAGTAATTCGAAGTGGCAAGACTTGGCATTAGCTTTTCTTTCGAATGGGTGGCAATAGGGGAATCTGTGGATAATCTTAATGCCAAATCTGAAATGGATATTCTAAGTATCCAAACAGCAAAGACACGCACACTTACACACTCAGAGTTACAATAATCCGTTTTAATTTGCCATCATCATCAGAATCCGAAAGGATCACGTAGTCAACAACTGCAATGCTTACTGTAGTTTTGTTTTTAAGTCAATAAACAATGATTTTACACATTTTATGTTTTACTTTGTTTTTCTTAAATTGTTCTTTTCTTATTCAAGTTGCTCGTTTTTTCTTGGTTTTCTTAAACTTTGTTCCAAATCAACGGTAAGTTTCGAATATTTCATTTGTTTTCTTTTTTCACATAGCGAACAACCCTGCTACGACCCAAGTACACGCCCAACGCCCAACGCCCAACGCCCCTCCCACATGCGCACACACACACTTGCATTTACATTGTGCTATACGTAAAGGTGTTTGTGTGAGTTGAATGCCTCGATAGATAGGGAAAAGTGCATCATTTTTCGTGACGTCACACAACTTCGCTCTTGTGTACAGCTCTGATCGCAGAGCTGGCCAGCTGGAGCAAATATATATTATATAAATATATATATATATATTGTTCGGCTTCTCAAGACGTTTCGACTCTATTAATAGAGCTAAATGTGACAAAGACAGCGGTGCACACAGCCGCTAGTGCTTCTTCTTCCTCTTCAGCATGTCTTCGTGAATATGGTTGGAAAGCTGCATCGTTCCTTTCCCACATGTTCCCCTTTGAACTCATTAGCATGAAATGAGGCATAAGATCTACATACATATATTCACATATACACTCCTCGGCATTAGGTTAGCGCCATCTTTTTACTCTTTTATTCGATTTTTCCAATTTCTACTTTCTGTTGCACGAAAATTTTTTTTTTTTTGAGTTTGTTATTCTTTTATGTGATCTGTGACCAAAAAACTTTGATAAAATAACTTTTATATTGCTATACAATGTTGCTCTATTTTCGTCAAAAACTCTTCATCGGCAGGGGACGGAATGACGTTCCACACTGAAAAATAATTTTACTCACACTACTTTTGTGTAGGAATCAAAGAAAAAAATGGTCGTAAGCCAAGTTTTTAAAATTCTAAAGATGTAGTTCAAAAGCTGGATATCTATAGAAACTAAAACTTAGGAGCAAACCACACATAAATTTTGGACAAGTCAATATAACTCGGCCTTCCCAGTTCAAGTACTTAGATTGATCATATGAAAAAATTGTAATTTGGAACTCCCGGAGCTCTGTAAAGGGGAGCATCAGTTCCGCTTGCTCAGCCGGATTGCAGGTACGATGGTGTGCGAAGCCAGCTCTTGTATTGGTTCCTATAAATTGCAGCTTTTAACTTTACAACAAATGTCAAATGTCTTGAAATAGTTGGCCAAGAAGGTGTACGAGTCTGGAAATCAATATAATAAAAAAAAGTTAATTAAAAGCATCCCAAGCTTAGTTCGTGATTTCATTAAACTTCATTCTTTGTTTATACAATGCGATTCCGAATTCAAATATTCAAATTACAGCAGCCAATTTTATTTTATTTTAAGAAGAATTTATGGAAGATTATTTGTTAAATATTGCGGAACTATCAAATGATTAATTTTGATAATATGCAACAAAAACAAAGCATAAAAGTGGGCGTTAAAATAACGCAAAGGAGTGTATATATTTCAGAGAACATATTTGTCTGGACTTACATACATACATATATACACAATGCTGATCAGGAAAATATGTATAACTTTAAAAACGTTAACACGAAACAAAACTCAAGCTAAAATGAATGAGCACAGGCACACATACTTACATATATACATAACTACAGATAGACACACAATTACATACACTTGTATATAAACACATGTGGATAGATATATGTAGTGAAGCTCATGAAGATGCCAAAGGACGCACAGACATATCAAAGGAACGTTCAGAGTATCCTGAGTGTGTGAACGGGTATGGGTTATGTCTGGAATTGTGTTCCACCCTCGATGCTCAGAAAAAACTGAAAGAAAAACATGAGATGCACACACACACGAGCAACATTTTTTTTGCAACCATTTTTATTTTGTTCGCCTTCGACCACTATCTTTTTTTCTTTTTCTTCTTTCTTTAATTCCCTACTTTTTTGTTTCGTTCCTGCTTGTATTAGCTGTGGCATACGGCGACACCGGCAAGAAGCGTTTGGCTGCTTCGTCTTTCCCTCGTGCGCGACACACACTCACGCTTCCACGCACACACACTGCCTAACTGTACATAGCAGTACATCCCCTTTGCAACTCTCCCTCGTCCTCTCCCTCTTCCTCTCATTCCATGGGCGTGTGTTGAAGAATTAGAAAAAAGGTAACAACAAAAAATGCGCTACGGTAAAACAGAGAAAGAAAATGGTTATAAAAAACTTGCAATAGAAAAAATATATGTACGTATATGTAAGGCAGCATATGCACTCGCACAGTCGCATATAAAAGTATTCATTCACATATAAATTTGAGTGCATATATACATATATATACATATATATGTACGTGTACTTAGTAACTTAGTAGTAGTTTCTATAAAATATATAGATTGCCTTAAGTATTTCCATTGCGTTAAAAAATCGAATAATTATCTGAACAGCTTTGTCTTATGAATTTAGAAGCAGTTATATTTGCATACATACATACATATACATATACATGAAGTATATGCTGTATATATGCATGTAGGTGTGTGTGTGAAAATGTGCACTTTTAGGGATTCTGTGTTCGGTCTAGTCGTAGTTCCCCTCTTCTCCAACAACCATTAGCAACTGACCCTCGTCCATTTCGCATTCCATATTCACATTTCTCCTTACCCCTTCTATACGCACAGACACAGACACACACAGTTGCTATTATCGCAATCTCATTTGCCCGGCGATTCGCAGAACTGCCGTTGGCTGGCTAGTGGCTGGGCAGCGCCGCCAGTGTGTGTGTGTGTGTAGTGCTCGCCATTTTTATGCGAGCGAAGGAGCTCCGGACTAGCGACCAAATGAATTAAAAAAAAAAAACAAAAAAGTGCAGTTGCAAAGAGTCTCGGCCAAATGACGAGCAACAGCAGCAACGAATCGGCGGGAGTGCAAACAAACCGTTTGGCGACCAACCAACCAGAGAACACCGCACGCGGGTTGTCTCACTGGCTTGTCCGCCCTGACTGCCTGCCACCTGCCCGACTGCCCGACTGCCCGACTACTCGACTACCCAACAACCCGACCGTCTGACTGCCTTTGCCAACTCAGTGTGCGCCTTCGTTTTCTGCGTTCTCTTTCCTTTTACTCGCACCTACTACCATATTTCTAGCGGATATTTAAGGTGTTTATCGTTGGATACTTGTCTCTCTCTCTATTTCTCTTTCCATTTAGCCGTACAAGATATAAATCTCTTCTTATATGTGTTTAGACTATAACTTTACGTTAGGCGAATTTTCGCATCCCGAAGATAGCACGAACCGCTTCCAAAGTCCGTGATTACATATCTGTACTTAGCTAACTAGTACTGCTTTTGATACCCATTGAAAATGGGGAGTCAAGGTATACAAATGTATGCAACAGGCAAGTATATATATTCTTGATCAAGACGATAAGCCGAGCCGATTGAGCCAAGTCTGTCTGTCCGTCTGTCTGTCCGTATGTATCTCAGAATTACAGACTTGTAAGTCCGTCTATAGCACGCGCATATTAAGTTTCTACCCAATAATCAATACCTATTACCGTTTTATTGTTATAGATTAAATACATTATTAAAATGCAGTTATTATATATCGTACAGGTTAGATCATATGCTGAAAATGTCATTAAGATCCATTAAATAAGACAGAAGTTATTAAACAAAACGTTTGGCCAATTTGCAAAAGCACATGTCAAGCAGCGCCAAGCGTACGAATTTTTCCTATACATGTGCAACATACACATATGTACATATTTCCTATTCTAAGAGTCGAAATTGCGATTGAATTGAGCTTCAATTCTCAGCTGCTACTTAAATTGATATTTGCAGTTTCTTGCAGCATCAGTGCAGTGACGGTGTTGGTCGACGGAAACAAAACTTGATAGAAACTATTGAAAGTATTAAAAAAGAGAGATAGGACTCTGATCAGGGTATCGTCTAGTCGGGCACCCCGATTAGAACTTTCTTGTTTTAACTTATATTTATTTAATTTGAGAAAAATTCCATACGCGACCTTTACCACTCATTTCAGAGTCTCATTTTTTTGCCCACTTTTTTGTGCGATTCTGTTTTTGCTTCTGCAGTTTAATAAAAATCAGCAAAAAGTGGATTTCGGTTGATACGATCTAAAATGGCATATATGCATATATATTATGCTTAACAAATAATAAATATAAATATGTGAATATTACATACATACCATATGCATCTATGGATTACCAAAGGACGCTATATATACATAAATATCAGATCACAAATATATATATATATATATACATATATATATATATATACATATATATATATATATATATATATATATATATATATATATATACATGTATATATATATATACATGCCTTTTAAGATTTGCTCAATTTCTACTTTTATTAAATATATATATATATACATATATTTAAATCGTTTTTAAAAAGTAAAAAGTAAAAAAATTGCCATGAAAAAAGAAGACAAACTTAAAGTGTTTTGCTGACTTGTTTTCGTCTTGTACAACATGCAACTGTACACATTTTTATAGTTGGCCTCAACAACAAAAAACAATAATAAAAAACAATAATAAGCAAAAAGAATTTTACTTATATTTGGCGGATAATCTATAAATAGCACCAGAAAGCTAACTCCAACAGCATTTTCTGCGTGAAGTTAGTAGACAAAAGTCAAATAAATTCTCCCTCCACATAGTAAATACATCATATATATATATATATATATATATATATATATATATATATATATATATATATATATATATATATATATATATATATATATATATATTATATATATTTATAAGCTACTTACCAATTGGAGCAGAATCTTGACAATCGTTACAGAACTAAGTAGAGCAACGGCGAATCGTGTATACAAACTGAATATGAATAAATTATAAAATATAATTTGGAACATATCAAATATAATGAGGACTAAAATTGAAAAATGTATTTATAAATAATATTGAAATAAAACAAAATAAAACATATATAAGAAATGTTATAAAAACATTATTATATATATAACAAAATAAACAAGTAAATTAAATGAACTAAATAATGTTAATAAATTAATAATGTAATCATTTAAGATATTTATCTATTCAAAAATATTTATAAATAAATATAAAAGATAATATAATAAAATAAAAACAATATAAAATTATAATATCCAATAAATCTAAATATATTTATTTGTGTAACAATTTATAATAATAAATTTTAAAAGTAAAAATAAATAAAAAGTGCATTAATAAAAATTTTAGAAATAATGACTAAAATAGATATCAATTGAAATATCATAAAAAAAATATAAAATATTGAAAATATTTTATTAATCACGAAAAATATAAAAATATACGCAGATCAGATATTTGTCATCACCCTAAACACACACACACACACACAATCAACCACATTCTTATTCTTGAAGTGTTCAGGGTGAATCGAATAACTTAAAGGAAAATTCGTGAACTCCAGACTAGCAACTAGGCCAGAGTCAGTTGAGGCAATCGGTAGTCCTGTAGCTGCTACTGTAAAACGAGACTAGTGGGAGAAACTCACTATATATTTACAAATCTTCCGACTAGCGAGGCTTTACTGTAAGTAGGTCAGTTCTCTATGTTATCTATGCCTAGTCTAATTGAAATAGATGATAAAGTATAAAACCGACTAGGCTTAAGGACTCTAGCTTGGAGTTTGCAACTATATATACATATATGGTATGCATATATGTATAAGAACATACTTAACGGTGTCCGATCTCTTCTAACCGGTATGCTCTCTCTCCCTTTCTCTCTCTATCTCCTACTCTGTTTTTCCTTCGCCCTATTCGAATGGTTCAGCTTTTCATGCACAAGAGCGCCATGCAGCAAATCCAACAGCAGATACCACGAGTCGGACTGGGTGCCCATGGCGTGGCCAGTACTGCCAGCATTGGGGGCAGCACGACACCCGGTGGATCGGAGACAAAGCCCCATCAGTGCCACCAGTGCATGAAGAGCTTCTCCAGCAACCACCAACTGGTACAGCATATACGCGTCCACACCGGAGAGAAGCCCTACAAATGCTCCTACTGTGATCGTAGATTTAAGCAGCTATCCCATGTCCAACAGCATACGCGACTCCATACCGGTAAGTATCCATATACATTTATACACATATACATATACATATATATGTATATGTATATATTTCTCAGGGCCTCGAACCGCTCGAGTATATTTTCCGAATTTCAAAAGCAATCCGGACATTGCAGAAACCCAATATACTCATATCACCTCGTAGACGAGTATACGAAAAGTACAGCCAATGGCGAGACTAAAAGCCCTTGCTTAAGATCAAATGCAATTTGCAGTTTTTCCTAATTACAATTTGGATTTTCTCTGGTCCTAACTTGAATTCATATTATGTGCTTATTACTTATTATTTTTTTTTCGTCTCATAATTACAACGCTGATGAAAATGTTTGGTACTTGTGACAAATTAAAACGGCCGTCACTTTCTATCGCTCTCGCTCCCACTCTCGGTCTCGCTCTCGCTTTGCCTGCTCCACCTGCAATGTGGAACAAATTCATTCTTTTATCGTAAAAAACTGCAAATTAAATTCCTCTGACAGATTGACGTTAATTTTTTTGTTGATTAATGATTTGAAAATGAGTGTTTTAGTGCAGGGTATTCTAAGGTCGTTCACTCGTCTGTTTTCTTCACGTACATAACTTTCACATCAATGTCAAACTGTTTTGGTTCACTGTGCGCCGACAACTAGAGCCCTTAGCGGCTCTCCTCTTTCAAATGTCGAACTTGCTGGACTGTCAGTATAATTCGGCCATCTCGCTCACACCAATGCCGATTGCTCTGTGCGCCATTCCACATTTACTGTTTCGCCTTGCATTGCATTTGCAGCAATCGTTGTGTCCGGACGCACGACAAATATTTATATTACGCACACAGCCAACAGCTAGGAAACGGCAGACGAGCGAATTGGCGAAATGGCGAAATGACAAAATGACAATGATAATTAAATAAACTTTGAGTGCTTTTTGTCGCGACTTTTTCGAGCAGCACCAGCTGCGAACTGCAACTGAGTAAAAATACCTATGGGAATAGTAGTAGCAATATATTTTATTCAGAATCAGGATGGGATTAGGGATGACGGAATGGCTGGCGAAAATTATTCAGCGTCATTAGCTACATTGAAAGCATTTTTTTTAAACATTTTTTGTGTCAAAGGATCTCTCCACCTCTTAATTGAAGTAAGTTTCTTTCACACCTGATTGCAGGATTACAATTAAATATATTTTCGTCTGGTTTTCTTTTTGGTTTTTTCCTCAGTTTTTATGCATAGTTTTGTGTCACCACTCACTTCCCTTCTTCTCGTAATGCAGAAAACAGAAATCAAATACGTTTTAATTAAAAACCAGTTTGCACCCTGCCAAAGCCAAACCCAAATCCAAACCCAAACCGGAAGCTGCCCGACGACCTTCAGCTGTGTGTTTATGTAGCGATTGTTGTCCTGGTCAGGTCATGTCTTGGCGTGCACAGCAAGAAAAACTCGATCATTTCGTACCTCTATGTGCATTCGTGTTGAGTGCCAGAGGCAAAGCACCCTTTACAAGGTACGGGTTGTACCATTGCCCTCATAAACGACAGATTTTGGTACGCACAGGTGACAAGCCTCTAATCCCAAACGGACTTCCATGCTACATTGTTGCAAGACTGCTACCTTCCAACCACCTGAGGCAGCTTGTACGGTTTAGTGTACCATTGATTTAGTAAAGTAGCAACTCTGGTACATCTGTCCAATCCATAGATCTGGATGATTTGAACTCAAATATTTGATGATGTTTGACTATTGTTAATAGTGAGACCTAACAAAAAAGAGGTTGAACTTCTCGCAGTGTGTGCTTCGGCTGGATAATCAGGCATTGCAATGGTAATCATTCATTGTCGCTCTACCATCTAACCGGCTAACAGGTTAGCCAGCTACAAACGAGCATCTCCATCCGCATCCGTATCAGCCTCAGCATCTGCGTTAGCGTTAGCGTCCGCGGCATCATCAACAACTAAACTCAAAAGATAATGGAGAGGCTATTAAGCAGTCGACCACAGACCCTTGTCCTTGTCCTTGTCGCCTGCACCCGATCAACCCGTTCTTGTATATAAGTAAAAGGCGCCGAAGCGCGCGAGTCACGGAATTCCTCTCGGCTAGCACGTATTCTCAGGCGTTGCATACTTTAAGGCGCTATAAGTACGCTTGGCCAAATAGAAAGACTCGACATTGTGCTGTTAGGTGTGAAGTGGCGTCGTGGGCACATGGAGGGGGACATGGAGGATAGAGCTGGGAGTGTTCTAAGGAATTCCACTGGCAACCGCAGCTTTCGTCTGCCCTGACTGCACTTTGCTGGTATTTATTTGCATTTAGTAGTAGGTGTCGCTAGCCAGGCGAAGTGACTGTAAGTAGCTTAAACGGTTTTCTTCATTTTCGTCCTTTGGCACCTTACGGACCCGCGCTCACTATGCTGACCTTCCATGTTTTCATTTAATTGCGCGTTCAAATGAAATTAATTTTCGAGCAAATCTGATACACGTAATTGCCGCAAAGCTGCAACTTTTTAAGGCAAAAAGCAACGAGCAACGCACAACGCGCAACAAGCCACTGCAACTGGGACGACCCTAAATAATTCCTACTCATTCAGGCGGCGAGCTTGCGCGAGGTTCGACATCATTTTCTAGCGTTTACTTTTTAATCTCGTTAAATGAAGTCAATCAGTCAATTAGCATCTGAGACGAGACGTTCAGCACTTAGACCCAACGTCCAAGTGTCTTCGCTACAAGATTCCTCCTCGCTCAGTTCATATTAAAGACCTATTATTTTGGAGCCAGTTTATTTTATTTTTCTCAATTCCACATTCCACATTCCACTTTCTCAACTTCCGATTTAACATATATAGGCAATGTAGCCAAAATGTGAAAGAGCTTGCTCTTCTAATGATAAGCCAATAGACCAAGCGAATGCAGGCCATTTGAAAATCCTTTGAAATCTGTTCGATTGCACAGATGCTAATAGCAAAGGGTTTATAATAAGTGACTATTCTCTCGAATTCTATTAATCGAATCGCAACTGCAACTGTGTTACGTAAAGTGTAAAGAATGTTTGAAAACGCAAAGCGAGCTGAGGTTGGGGTATGTCGTGGTGGGGCACTCCCGACTCTTCCTTCTCTCTCCTTCCTTGCTGTGTCATTAACGCATTCTGCCTATCGCAGATATAGGTAAACCTGTAGAGGTGATATCAAATATAGAAATATTTTGTAAATATAGACTTGATCAAAGAAAGGCTATTAAGAGAAGACTAAGAAAAGACTGAATATATACTACCAAATATCTGGCAAGTCGAACTCAATGGAACGACTAAGTCACTCCGAAACCCGAAGCTCTGAAACTATATCTCCTAAGTTTTCGAGCTGGGTATCCAGCAGTTAGGATACTTGGAGCCCGTTCCCAAATACGGGGCTTGGAATGAATGAGAGATGCTTTGCCCATCTTTCGCTCAAGAGCATAATTGGCACACAGCTTAGATTGCCTGACTCTGACGGTGGCTAGGCAGACTGTGTCCGGGTCGATGTGCTATGGAGGGATTTCACTACTTCGAGTTTGCATTGCGGGAAAGTTGAAATTGTAATGTTTGGTGAGTCCAGATGAGCGCAACTGAGAATAGATAAACTCGACTACATTGATACTCTGTACTGGCTTCGCCCTCTAATCTTTACCTTTTGGCTTCTGAGTTTACATCTTCTGGCCCTTGGGGGCTCGATGAAATACAGTTTGATGTCCCATATATATGTTATCCGAATTGCATTCTTCCAGGAGAGAGACCGTACAAATGCCACCTGCCGGACTGCGGTCGAGCATTCATCCAGCTATCCAATCTGCAACAGCATTTGCGTAACCATGACGCGCAAGTAGAGCGGGCCAAGAATCGTCCATTCCATTGTAATATTTGTGGCAAGGGATTCGCCACAGAGTCCAGCCTGCGCACCCACACGTCGAAGGTAAGTATTCTGACACTGACTAATGGACATCGATCATAAACAATTCCACAAATCCACAATTCATAACTTCCCAAAAACTCAACTCAAAAAATGTTTTTTTTTGTACTTTTGTCTGCTGCCAAAAATAAAAACGCACCTTCATCACCATCAATTTATTCGACTTGCACGGTATTCTCATTGATCTGAACTCGCCTCAACTCAGGAGCTACAGCTGCATCTTGGTGTCTTGCAGCAGCATGCGGCACTCATTGGGGGACCCAATGCCACTTCATGCCCTGTATGCCACAAGCTCTTTTTGGGCACCGAGGCGCTTATGGATCACATGAAGCATGTCCACAAAGAGAAGTCCTCGCCTCCAACCGAACCACGTAAGAACTCACACCAAGTCGCCTCCTCCTCCTTTCCGTTTTGGATTCACCAATCCAAAGACCCAAGGATCGATTCAAGATTCACTGAATTCAAATTGCATTTTGAGTTCACTGAGTCTGAATTGCCTCTTTGATACTTACCAATGACTAATGAGCTCTTCGTCACTCACTCTGGGTTAAGCGGCTCAATTCGGAGATGGTATCCACGGAAGCGGCTCACTTGCGGCGCAATGCGCGTCCGAGTTGAGCTGCGCTCAACCATCGACCACCAGTGGATCAAGTTTGAATGACAGCTACCTCGGCAAGCGGAGAACCGCCAACCATCCCTGTCCCGTCTGCGGCAAGCACTATGTCAACGAGGGTTCCTTGCGCAAGCATCTCGCCTGCCACGCGGAGACCTCCCAGCTGACCAGCAGCCTGCGCATGTGGCCCTGCTCTGTTTGTCAGGCAGTATTCACCCACGAAAACGGTAGGTGCACGGCTTGATATTGCTGGATGTATCGCTATATATTTTACTGGATCTCCCAACTTGCAGGTCTGCTCACCCACATGGACCATATGCGTATGGATCCAAAGCATCAGTTTGCTGCACAATACGTTCTGGTATGTACCTTACCTACACAGAGGACTTAACTTTCACCTTCATTTCAACTGTACCTTCACGCTGCTTTATTTCAATTGCATAATACCCTAATACCCGGCTTTATCCTTTATACTTTGCTGCCTTAAGATACCCCTTTCTTGTCACGATATCTTCTGCTTTGCGTCTTGAGTGTACCTTTTTTGTAATGTACCTACATGTGTACCTCTTTTACTTTCTTACTGCAGTCTCGAGCGGCAGCCGAGCAGAGGGAACGAGAGTCCCTGTTGGCAGCCACTTTAGCTGCCTCCTCGACCAGTAGCGGAGTCCGAGACCCGGCTGGACACCTGTTGCCGTTGGGCGTGGGCGTGGGCGTGGGCGTGGGTGTAGGTGCGGGAGTGGGCGCTACACCTGGAGGAGGATCCAACTCGTTGTGCCCCTCGCCATCCGCGAACTCGGAATGTTCATCGAATGGACGACTCTCTTCGTCATCCACATCGGATCAGGATCAGGACCAGGACCAGGACCAGGACCAGGACCAGGACCAGGACCACGACCAGGACCAGGGCTTGAGCGAAAACGAGAACAGCAGTCACAACAATAACATTATAAGCGTTAACAACAACAACAATAATAGCATTAACAATAACAACAACAACTGCAGCTCAAACAAACTCAACTTGAACGAGCTGCGTCTGCCCAGTTCCAGCCAGTACAGCATGGACGCCGAGCTGCACGCGAATCGCATGTCCCTGATGGCGGCAGCATCAGCTGCCGCTGCAGCTGTCGCAGCATCCGCAGGCTCCCGGTCGCAGGACGGAGCCATAGACGGCGTCACTGCCGGCGCAGGCAGCGCCGTAGTCCAGGCGGCAGTCGTCAACCTGGCCGCCGCCATGCGCATGAACAATCCCGTAAACCATCAGCCACAGGTAAGGACTGTAATATTCCTGCATACATATCTGACAATGGCTGTTGGGAACTCGGCAGCAGGGCATCTAGCCATCTGGGCAGTTGTTCCATTAGCCTAAACCCTTTGATAATGGGAATTCAGTGTGTAAGCTCCTAGTAAAATCGGAGAAAACTCAACAGTCTCTAGCTCTAAATCTAATAACGAATTCTTAGGTTATGCCACGAGCTATCGAAGATAGGATCAACTTGTCTTACACTGCTTTATAGCTGAAGAGGAAGGATCGACTCAAGTCGACATCTTCGCCCTGGTCATGGGGTTATGGGGTCTGAATTTGGAATTTCAATGGGTCAAGGTGTACCTCAATAAGATTTAACTTTAACAGTTGAAGTTGATTATGGCAATGGCAGATGATATGATGTTTGATATGTGTTTCTTTCACTTTTAGCCAAGCGAGCACCAGGTACTGCAGCAGCAGAGCCAGCAACAGCCACAGCTCCAGCACCAACATCAGCATCAGCATCAGCATCAACATCAACATCAACATCAACATCAACATCAACATCAACTCCACCATCAGCAGCAGCTGCCTCTCTTGCCACTGCTTTCGCCGCTTGGCAGCCAGCAGAGCCATGCGGGGGGCAACAATGGCACGCGACGATCGCCGACTATAAACGTTCCTAGTTTGCAAATGCAGAGCGACACATCGGCTTCGGTGATGATAAACATGATGCGGGGCTCGCTGGACTCCAGCTTGGGCGGCATGCATCAAATGGAGGCGCTGCATCATCAGCATCATCAGGCGTCCAATTATTCGCAGCACGCTGTGACGCCCAGCTCGCAGCAGGCGTCGTCGCATCCCCAGCATCCACATAGCCATCATCCGGAAACGGCTTTGCGCATGCATCAGCAGGCGGAGGCGATATTGCGCTCCCACACAGAGGCTGCGTTTCGTCTGGCTGCTTCGGTGGCCGCCACGAGCGTGACGCCTTCCAACACTGGCGCTATCAAAAGCGAATCAACAGTGGGAAGTTCAGCCGCCGCTCAGCAGCAGCAGCAGCAGCAGCAGCAGCAGCAGCAGCCGCAGCAACAGAGGCAGATCAATGGCAATGATATGCACGCATCGCCGCATAGTTTCCCAACAAGCGCGAACCAAGCATCCCACAGCACCCACCCGCAGTCGCAACAGGAACAACACAATTCATGAAGTCTATGAGACTTGATGCTTGCCACGAATCAGCAGCAACCATAGCAGCGATAGATTGCCGTACCGAGAACCTAAATCATTAAGCTACATATATGTATATATATATGTATATATATACATATATTTATATATATATATATATATATATATATATATATATAAAGAGAGAGTGAAAGAGAAAGAGTAATGTCACGGTTTTCGCACTGTAATGGCAGCACCCAGTACAACGAACTACATCTGGCTCCTGTCTCTTTGCTGTGACTAAGAAGGAACTTAAGCAACCCTTACCTTCTCCCACCCCACCCCTCTTCCGTACGACTATAAACAAACATCAGTTTACCTATTTATGTATTTATGTATGTATATATGTACGTATGCATGTTTGCATGTGCGTGTGTAATAAGCAACATGTGCATGTATTGTACAAAAAAAAAAAAAATATATATATATATATATATATATATATATATAGATACATATGTGTGTGTGTAAATCAAATTCGGTATTAGAATATACTCCAGTAATCTTGTGTACACCTCTCCGATATACACACGCTCACTCACCAGACGTTGCACCATGGAAGAGGGTATTTTTTTAAAATATTAAACAATTTTGTACATTTTGAGTAAATTTCCGATTAGTTAACAGTATTCCATCGTCTCATATGTGAATGGATAACCCAAAAATCCACTACAAAAACAAATACTCCAGCGAAAAAAATAAATTTTTGTCGGGGCTTATTCTCTTATATATACACTATTTGATTAGATCTCCTCAAGCATGAATTTTTTGAGAACATTTTCTGAAAACCTATTAATTTAAGCATTTGAGATCAGAGAGCATTCAAAAAAGAGTTCCAATTAAATTTCAAAATATTTAAACAGTAACTGTTGTCAAATACACATGTGCATGCATAAATCATATATATATATATATATCATCTATATGTATGTATGTAACGGGAGTGTTTATGAAGAAGATAGTGGGAGACTCTCTGAGATGTATGTGCGTGTGTATATACATTTAAATAAGACTCTAAACTGAGTGGTATACATGAATGCTACGATATTAAGTGTGCTGTCTTGGGATTTCAGTAATTGTCCTTCAAGACCGCGCCCCTCTCCCGAGAAATTGAGTTTCTTAACACTCCATGTGCAATAGATTTCAAGTTTTTACTGTAGTTAAGTATTGCTAGCAGTATTCGGAAACATTTTGAATTTGTATAAAGAGGGTATACTATAAGAGTAAAATTATGTATATACCTTATAAGTATATATAATGTAATTAAATCGCCAAAAAATCAGTTCGGATTTGTGTTTCGACTTTATTTATTTCTCTTTTCCAGATCTGGTTTAGCATCCGCAATATTAATATTGAAATCGAAAAATTTCCATAAGACCGATCAAAGAATCCACTTTAACTTCTTAGGTATTTTGAATTCAATTATTTTCTTAAAGAAATAAATAAATAACAAAGAAGCAGATAGCACATAGATTAATTATCGATAACAAATCCCATCTCTGTTCTGTGATTCACAATTTTATACGATTTTAATTATATATGGATATTATTCCAGACGAATCATATCGATATTCCACACAAAAACGAACAACACTAGTTATTCCTATTATTATTTATTATATACTTTTAAGTAAAATTGTATATATATATATATATATATATATATATATATATGAAATCCAACGTATTTCAGAATTTCATTTCTGTTTTTATTCCCAAAATGGATACAAGTGGTGAGTGTATTACTTTCGACTTTCAGGACTTAAAATAAGTTAGGTGTGTGTGTGTGCGTTGGTGTACGTGTGTGCATTTGCGCGTGCTTAGGTGTGTTAGTGTTTGTATGTATATATGTATATTTAGCACATAAGAGTATACTAATTAGAATCTAATTACTCCAACCACGCCCTGCTTTTGTCTATTATTACGATGCTGATGATCCTCAACTAATGGAAGCATTTCCAAGTGGATCCGATAAGCTAGACTAAGCTGAAGACACTGTACAAATAGATCTCTGAAGTAGCTTTCATATGTATGATGCAGAGCAGTATCTGTTCACTTCTTAAAGAAACAGTACATATAGAATTTCCAATAAGCTTTCAATTAGATACGTTAGATGACGATACACTTATTCAATGCTATGCAACCCAGTGCTGCGGGCACGCTTCTGCGGAGAACTGTAGCTGCTTGTTGAGGAAGCTCCACTCTTTTCCTGGGTTCGCTTTAAGTTGGCTGTATTTGCGGCGCCTTGTAGCTTGTTTGTCGTTGGATCTACAATATAGGATAGTTAAACACAGAAAGCACACTAATGTATGCATTTATATTTATATATATATATATAGATGTATATATACCTTGAAGCCATCTGACTTGCGTCGCTGGGCCGTAGCCCTTTTGATTGCGTGCAGCGATACGGAAGATAATAGCTGGCTTATTAGAGCAGTCGACATGTGCATTGGATAGCGACGCATTAGGTACTGTACATTGATTGGCTGCGCCCACATAAACACGCACAAACGCCAATTGTGGCGATGATACCTTGTCTTTTGTTGTTGGCTTGACAGCCAAATAAACCGAGTATTCAACTATTTCCTTGGTCTTTTGCGCCGGTGGCGGTTCCCATGTCAAGTGTGCACCCTCCTTAACATCCTTGGATATCTTGATAGCCGATGGTGCACCCGGGAATCCAGGTAAGCACGTCTTAAAGCTTGAGATCTACAAATACAAATATTGAATACAACCCAATTATATATATACATTTATATCTGTGATGTTTGCACAAAGACATTGTTAGCACTAACCTCTCCCCATTCGCCCCGTCCACATGTGTTAAGGGCAGCCAAACGAAAACGGTACGCGGTACCCGGATCCAAGCTGATGCGCGGATATTGAGATAAATCGGGTAGATTATCGGCATCATAGTTTTCAAGTTGAGCCTCGTTAAAGTACTTATAGTCGATATAGCTGGTAACAGTATGGGACAGATCTTTAAATATGCCCACCGTATGCCATTTATCACTGTCGTCAATTGTTGAATTGGAAACGCTGACTGGTAGCTGAAATAAAATAATGATTTAAAACTGATCTGCATGATATAAATAAAATACAAAGAAGACATTTACGTTGTTGTCAATGCAGCTTTTGGGTTGGTCAATCGACTTGCTGATTATATGGCCAGCAGACAAGCTATCCAACAGGTTCCTATTTGGCTTACTTGAATCTGCTGAAGCGGTGGCCGCTTGCAAGACAGCTGCCGAAGCCAAAGCGTCCAATTGAGAGCCGTCCACTGAAAGTTTTTCGAATAGAAACATTTTTACTTTTCAAAATTAAAACTGCTTAGTGCCAAACTAATAAATACTCTGTACTAAGGGTTGACCTAATTTTTCTGTATAAAAACCTAGGTATCCAAAAACAAGCCAAACAAGAAATACCCTGATCCTAGTCCTATCTGGGTTCCTTAATATTTTTACATAGCTTGTCACGAGTATAAAAATAATAAATAAATAAAAACCGACATTAGGACGCGAAGATTCGAAGCAGCACATTTTCCGTAGTTTGTATCGAGTATTCAAAAAAAATAAAATAAAAATAAAAATAAAAATCGACAGTACTACACCGGGATTCAAACCCACTATTTTTACGCAACGCGCACGATCTCTACCAACTCTAAAAAAAATTCCATCTCCACCGGTCTCGAACCCTGGGACTAGCTGCTTACAAGCACCGCCTCTACCAATGCACCACTTGCAAGATGAGTTGCAAATTTGAAGTTGAGTAGCAGCTGATAATTCAAGCGTGTTCAATCGTAATTTCGATTTTTCGAATAGAAAAGAATACACGCATTTGAATGTATGTGTACACACGCATAGGAAAACTGCGTGCGCGTGGTGCTGCTGTCATGTGCTTCTGCAAATTGGCCAAATGTTTTGTTTAATAATGGATTTCACTTAATAGATTTCAATGGAATTTTTGCGTATGATCTACATATTCTATTGGCTTGGTTGAGATACAAACGCCCTCAAATAAGGGCCCTATTTCCAACTGAACTTATATTTTAAGAAATTGGGGAAATTTGGAGCCGGTTTCACAAATCCAACAAAAATCAAAACTGCATAAAATATACATAAAACTCAATACAAATTTTGGAGGCTCTAGCTTTTAAGACGTCCGAGATGTAATTTATTCACTGCATTTCAATCATGTTTTTATTCGATAACAATTAAATGCGAATAGTTATCGAATATTTGAAACAAACTTGATATGCTCGTGCTATACACGGACCTACAAAAAAAGTTTCAAGTTCTAGCTCTTATAGATGCACAGATCGACGCGTTCACACATACCGACAGGGCTCAATCGACTCAGCTTGCCGTCCTGATCAAGAATAGAAGTATTTACAATCTATAGTCCCTATACAGTTGGACAAAAGTTTCGATCGACAGGAATGAATATGAGCTAAACAAACCATTTTGATGATGATGCTGCCTTATAGCTGATATCGATAATTGGCTGTGAGGTACATCCGAATCGCTGGTAGTGGATATGGCGGGGTCTTTGAATATGCTGCTGCTGCTGTTACTCCCAGCTAAACCGTCGCCTGATTTAATTGTAGTTAATATATTTGCAGCCTCAGTCTCCGAAGCAGTTGTCAGATTGAAATCCGCTGCTGTGGTTGTAACTGAAGCAGTTAAGCCAGTCTGCAAAAAAAATACGCAAAAATCGTAAACAAAAAGAAAACACGTTTTTCCTTTCAAATGCTTACATTCGAGTCGATAATATCGTTTTTATCTCCAGTTACATTCGGACTTGCTGTTGCAGTTACAGTCATGGTAGAAGTTTTCTGTACATCCGTCGTACTGCTTACACCGGAAATATCATCAATAGATTGATCTACCAATCGGATGTCTGTTGATGTATCTTCGGCTTTACTTGACATGGCTGCAGCTGGCACTAACGTTGATGTTGCTGTTGATGTTGAAGATGTGGCAGCAATTGAATTCTCATCCCTATCTTCAATATCTTCCGGTACTTGTTGATCCTTCGTTGGACTGAGTAGGTCGTCAGCCCCATCCAGTTGCTCAATGATGTCATCAATGGTATCCGTGTCAGCTATTGTGGCTATAGTAACTGCTGCCTCAGCAGCGCTATTGTCCTGTTTCTCCTTTACCTGCTGTACGGTCGTCTTTACTGCCGATGCCGTCGGCCGGCTTGTCAAGGCCAATGTGCGTTGGCCGACCCCAGTACCACTCGCCCCACCAGCATTGAAGATGTTCACAAAGCCTTTTCGTGCAGCCGTTGCTCCGGGCAACATGACTAACTTGTTGGTGGAACTCGTGCCGGGCGAGCCAGATATGCTAGAACTTGCGCTCATCACAGTCACCGACTTGCCACCAATATAAACGGCGGTCTTTTGCTGTGCCAGCTTTTGACCAGCGGCTACGCTACCACTGTTAACAGAGGTGAGTGTAATGGGTCGGCCTGTTGTTGCTCCTGCGGCACCCTGTATGTTGCGCACCATCTTAACATTATTCTGACCGGTTAATACTGTGCGCTGTCCACCCATCGCAATGGGCGTAGCCGTTGTACCAGTTGAACCAACGATACTGACAATGCTCGTAGATCCAGCACTGCCAGCACTGCTCATCACAGAGCTAGCCGGCACAGTGCGCAAACTAGCTCCAGTTGTAACAATTATTATTTGCTGATTGCCCAATTGAGCGCCTTGTTTGTTGGTGATGACAAAAGCTGGCTTGCCTCCCATAACATTGGGTGTTACCTTGCCCATTTGTAGTATGTTGGAGTTCTTCATTATTAATTTACCACCAGACATCGTATGCGGTGCAACAAGTTTTAGGACATTGCCAGACACAATTGACTTTTGTTGCTGCTGCTGCTGTTGTTGGTGTTGTTGATGGCCACTTGTCGATGTCGAAGTCGTTGCCATCACTGTCGTTCCACCAGCCATTACTGTCTTTGGCTGCACACTTGAGCCCGATGCAATCTGATACAAAGCGAGAAGCAGAACAAAATAAAGTAGCTCTAATATGATATAAATAATTGGCTTACCTGTATATGTGCCGAACCAGTGCTGAGCTGCTGATTGCAAACAGATATGGCCTGAGACTGAGCACCACCGCTGCTCTTAGCAATATTAAAATTAACTTTCGGCAATGTTTGCACCGTCATGCCACCGCAACTAGTCTTCACAAACTGCAACTGGACATTTGGTGCCAAAGTGAGGGGTTTCTGAATGAAATACTGCTTGCCGCCAAGCGATGTAGTTGTTGTTGCCACAGCCGGCGAGCTGGTTTGCACAGTAGCGCTCGGCTGTGATGTTTTCAGTATTGTCGTAGTGGTTGAAGCTCCACCGCCGCCGCCGCCACTGTTGCTATATGTGGCAAGGCGTAGGGGTTGGCCAGCAGAGACACCTGTGCTGGTAGAGACGCCAGGTATAATTCGTAATGCTCCAGTTGATGACTGCGAAGTGGTAAGGACAAGGCCACCGCTGGACGCCGTGACAGAGTTTGCACCGACACGAACAGCCACATTTAGGCCATCTTGGCTTGCTTGGGAGACACCCGTTGCAATCGATGTCTTGACAATTGATGCACTGGCTCGAAACTTTTGTAATATCCCACCACTACTACTGCTAGTTGTTGTGCTGACTCCTGAAGCGGAGCTGCTAATGATCGAAAGTTGCGGTTGTTGCTGAACAGTAACAATCGCAGGCGTTACGATTGCTTCCGTCGCTACGGACCCACCTGAAGATCCACTTGCCGCCTTAACCTGCGATTGTGTGACATGAACAGTCGACGATTGAGTCGACTTGCCAATTGCTGTAATGGTGGGCGGTGTTGCTGTGCCCACAGATCCTGCAGCTGGCGATGCAGCTGCCGGACTGCTTGTCCCAGTAAGATGCAAAACTGAAATTGGATTCTTTTCGAATTTGAGTGCAGCCGAAGCGATGAGGGGAGTGCTTTCTGATCCATTAGCGTTACTCGTTGGCTGTTGAATTAAAGTCTGACCTTGACTCTGGGCCTGTTTTGTATTTGCTACAGGTGGCGCTTGCTCAATTTTTTGAATTTGCAGCACATATGCAGCAGCAAAGGTCGTCGCCGTCCAAGAAAGCTCAAGCGCATGCGTCGATGCACGAACCAGCGCCACTTTAACCGCATAAAGCGGCTTGGTTACCTCCAGATACCACAAATCCTTACAGCATACCTACGTAAAATCGCAAAATAGAAAACAGTATCCTAAAATTGTAATCATTCTATATATATAATATAAATATTTTAAACTATATGTAGGAGATTATTAAAGTTTTTATCGATAACACGTCCTGTTTATTATCGATAATAATTGACGATTTCATCACAAGCTCTCAAATTTATTGTGTAGGTTCCTCTCTGACTTATTAAGTTAGCTAGTGGGATAACAACAAACAATATACTAACAACTTTTGGTATTATGATTGACCTATTAAGGTTTTTCGGGAACATCGATAGGCAATATTTTACCATATTACTGCACAACAACTAAAGTTAAGGCACTTTATATATCCACTTTATGATAGCAGTGATAACAGATCATCTCTCACCCTAACCTGGTTGTTCCATGCTTTGCGATAGCCGTCTCGACCCGACCATACGTACAAACGACTTTGTATACCAACTGCACAGTGCCCAGCTCGAGCTCTGGGAACGTTCTCCTCAACCGTATCCAAGGTGATATTCTCCCAAATCATTGAGTCTGCAGAGAGAGTAGATGAAAGTAAATTTAATAAATTATTATATTTTTTTTTTAAGTTATCAATTAATTTACGATCTACCTAAATCGAGAACAGCTAGCGTATTCGTGCATTTCCATTCCCGTTCTGTGGTCGCTTTGGAATCGTTGATCACCAATGGGACCCAGCCGCCAAAGACATACATCTTGTTCGCAATCATTGTGGAGCTGTGAAGAGAACGCGGCAGCGGAGCTTGGCCTCGAGTACGTGGTTTTTCCCAAGTCATCGAATCTGCAATTATATGGAGTCAACTTACTATCGATCATCGGCTAAGAAAAAGCGCTCTTATATGCGTACCTGTATCAAGCAACCATAAATCGCCCAAACGGCATCCACTCATACCGCCATAGACAAGCAGACTTAATTTACCAGTTTGTCTACTTGTGAATGATATTCCCGTGTGAGACTCGCGTGGTGGAGGACTGTCGCCAAATGTCTTGGGAATTATCCATTTTCCATTGTGACTGTGCACTCCCCGTGTATCCAATATATACAAGTCATTTAGATATCTGTTGACAAATAAAGAATGAAAAGATCTAAATATATCGATATGAATACTTTATGCAAAACTTTGCCGAAGTCTCGCAAACGGAAAAGTAATCAATGATTTGAAACTATGTTCAACATACATACAACATACATTTTTACAAACGAATTACACCCTGAATTCTCGTTTGCAATTGTATCTTATAAAATGTGTAAATAAATAACAATAATAAAAAGACAATATTGGAAAAATCAATAAGTGTTACCTACTTTGGAATATTGTTTTTTGGATCATCCGATTCATTGGCTAGTCCGCCAAAGAGAAATATTTTCTCGCCCACCATAGTGAAGCTGTGACCGAGTCGGGGACACGGTGACGTTCCATTGTCTGGCGATTCTGGATACATTTTCCTCCACTCCCATTTGGTGGCCTGTAACTCATAGAGTTCATTCGAATATTTACCATATTCGATCATTCCGCCAAAAACAAACATGCGAGTTCCCTCAACAACAAATCCGTATGCCGCACATCCATTGGGTACATCACCCTTCAATACGGGCACATACCATTGATTAGTCACTGAAATAAGGGATACAAAATTTCCATATGAAAAGAAATAATTTCGTAAATGACTTATTTATAATCCTAATCCTAGCTTAATGTTACAAATCTCTTTTATCGGCTGCTTACGCTTCTTACCCATGCAGTTTACATACTACAAATAAATCGTACATAGAATTACTACCCAGACAAGGCATAGATGGGTCTTGTATAATGACCTATATATAAAAGCTCAGGAGTGCAAGGGTGCATCAAGCTTCTAATTGCCCAAATACACATCACAAAGGATCACTCAATGATTCAAACCAAGCCTAAATAATATTATATGCAGACTATCGAAAAGCTTTCAAGGCACATAAATGAGCTTGTTCGTATCTGTCCGCGCCAGTCGAGGAAGAGTATTTTCTATGCGCATCAACACGTTTAAGCTCTTATAAATATTAGTTTGGTATGAGCGCGGCAAAATCCTTATATGGTTTGTTCTTTACTCTTTTATCTCGTGGTAATTAAAAGATTTCTGAGAGAAGAGTATACAGAAGCAATGCTCTTCGGATCGACTTAAAATTATATGTCTTTGGAAATTGAAATTGGTCTATATTGTTTTTCTCGTATTATAGAAATATATACTCATATGAATAGATCATTTCGATCAAAGCGACCATCGCAAATGAAAATTCTAGATGATCCATCTATAATTATCATAAGTGATAAAACAATAACAAAATTCTAAGCAGGTGTATGCGAAAACTTTAGAATAAAATATAAAAACTAATTAAAATAACAAGTAGAATAAAATCACATTAATCGTTTAAATAACTAACAATAAATACATAATTAAAAAGAAAATAGATTATTTTTTAATCAATATATATTAATAAATAACATACTAATATAATACTATATATATATATATATATATATATATATATATATGCCCATCATCTATAAGCCACCCTGTATAAGATACCACAACAAATACCTGTATTATAAACATGGAGTTCGTCGACAATTCCCTCATTTCCGCCGCCAAAAACAACCATAAGTTCTTTAATATTTATGGCTCGATGACCGTGCCGTGGACGAGGTTGGGGACCTGTTGGATTAAGGACGCGCTTCCATCGAAATCCAACCGATGGACTGTTTGTCAAATTGTGATTGATCCCGACTTCTGCTTGATATGGATCCAAATCCATGTCGACGCGTGCCAAGCAATTGCCGCCCGATGATGATTGAATGCTAGCAGATCGTATAATCTGTTCAGAATTGAGTGCATCGGCCATAGCAGTTCCCAACGAACTATTCGATCCAGCAAATTCTGTGCTATCCATATTTAAATACCGCTATATATGGCTACTTTTCACTTATTGGAGTGAATATTTGCGATGTTTATTTTCAGTGGGAAAGCTTAGCTGAACCAATGCATGAATGCATATTTGCTCGTAGACTCTGTAAAAATAAAAAATAAAGTTATATTATGATGTAAAATTAAGAAACGGCAAAATTACTTTTAATGCGTACTGTATTTGTACATGTATGCTCGCAAATTTATGTTGATCTGGCAATGCTGTCAATGGACGCTCTACAAAGTTATCAATTTTTAGTACCATTTTATCACTAATATTAAATAATTCAATTAAAACTAAGTTGACGTTTGTTTTTACTATGTACACTTACCAAAGGAATAACTGTTACGTCCGCTGTAACTTAAGTTAACAAATTTCTTAAATACAGCACAATCTAATACACAATGTGCAAAAAAAAGCCGAAGAAAACGACAGCGACGCACACATAGAAAATTGTCGCAAGGGAACCGAACTAGATCGGCGTACAAAAATCAGGGTTGCAATAATGCACTTTTTATTCAGATATCGATGTATCGTTATTAGCCAGTAAATACATACAATGCACATTTAAATTGAATACTACGTAGATCATCTTCAGGTATGAAAATATAATTTCTTCTTTTCTTGTATGTAATTGATAACAAATATTTTATATCAATTAATTCGATGATTATTTTTGCATACTTGTATATCACGCTGAGTCAGACATAATGATTGTTGCTGTTGCGGCAGTTGTAATTGTAAGCAGCTAATTGCTATAAATTTATTATGATTAATGGAAATAGCTTATTGCTATAATATTTTTTTTACATTTACTAATTAATTAAATTATTTTCAGTGAAAAATTATCTACTGAAACTTTTGAAAGGTGTTAGAGTTGTGCAAATAACAGCATATTTAATATTTATCTTCACTTTAAAATAAATAATAATAATACAAGTGGCTTATACATTCATATATATTAAACTATGTAATAAAATAAGATATGACCAATAAAAAATACTGGAATAAATGTTGTTCTTTTTCAAGCCCCTGAATAACAAAATATAAGTGCGGCGACCAAAAATACTAGAGTCGGAATGTCAGGTAGATTGCTGCCAGCAGTTTTGTAAACAACTCTAAGGGTTGACGATAGTTCCTTGGTAAACAAATTATATCATATGGGAGTATCGATACTTTGATATTATACAGAACAGCTGCGCCACTACTAAGGATGTGTACAAAATTGTAACAACTCGATTTCTGTTATCGATAACTTCAGTATTAATGGTGGGCATCAAAATCGATTTTGCCGATGTCTCAAAGTATGCAATAATTAATTTCGTTCGTTTAATAGGCTCAAAAGTTAAAAGTCAAATTATGTTGCAAGCATAGCCTTAAAATTGCTATTTCGTCAAGAAGTGTGGAATAATTTTGAGTACAATTTGCGGCGCTCTAAGCGGTTTCTCGGTATGTGACCAATTTCTAAAAATAAAATAAAATTAAAATTTCAACTGATGCGATTTATTTCTCAGTGTGAAAGTACATAATTAAAGACTTTAACCTTGATACTTAAACATATATTTTATGTATATTACGTTCACTATATATTAATTATTACATAATGCTTTCTTTGGGCTTAATGGGAGTCGATAATCGTATTTTTTACTTATAAAATTATAAATACGTTGTTTTAAAGTGATTACTAAGTAAAGCAAATTATTGTAAGGAATAACTAGAAAATTCTCGAACCGTGATTAGATCTAAGACTTAAAGAAGAAAAGCAAATATGACAGTCGAATATAGGTGGATAACAGCCGCAAGTATAAAATAAAATTCATCAATGGATGCATACAGATCTGGGTAGATTATACGCATTGTTTAACATATTTTGTGAGCTTATCACTGAGGTAGCGGTAACGCCGCAGTGTTAACGTAATCAAGTCAAACATACGACTGATAACTTCAGTTCTGCGATAAGCAGGACAAATATCTTACTCGACTACCTGTTCGTTTGCTTCGGATTTTTGTGCATGTATTGTACACAGACACGCACACTAAAAAAGAAAAACACTTAAAAAGGCTATAAATAGGACGGCAACAAGCAAATCACAGTATTCTGATTTAGTTAGTTAGTTGCAGTTATAAAAATTTCGTGGGTGTTTGACTCTTAAGGTTCGTAATATATCGAATATTTTAATGATATACGCCTGGTTTACAGTATTTTAGTACTTGTTAAATTTTGTGGTCTTTGTTGTGCATAGTGCAATAAAAATAAACAAAAACCAAAGAAAAAAATATTGTTTCGACTTTAAAATTATGTTTAGTATTTTATGTCTTAAAAATATATAAAATATTATAGGACTTCCGTATACTTCTGATATCGAAATGTTACTAAAATTTGTCGAAAAGTGAGCAGACATCGATTACCCAACGTCTTCGATTAATAGTGAATTTGCCAATTGAACAGTTTGGCCATACTGTTGAATTGTGTATACCATACTAGTTATCCGTTGTGTTGGCAAAAATAAAAATACTAGCAATTTTGGTAACGAGTTTAATTCTTAATTTGTTGCGAAAGGATCTTCACATAGAAAATATAAATACAAGCTAAATTTTAAAACGATAAATTGAAATTGTATTTATAATAATTTTTATCGCGTTGTGTTCGCCTTTTTGACTGTCTGGCTGCTTGAACCAGTAGATAGTTAATTAGTTGTATTTAAATCGCGTGGCAACACCCATTCAACATTCAGTATCAAAACTCAATTAAAATTCAGTAAATAAAAGATTAATAATTAATATATATAAATATATGTATTTATTTTTATATATTTAAATCGTTCCACGTGTTCAGTGAAAGTAAATATACATAGTTCAGTTTGTTAATATAAATATGTTTATGTATAAATATATATGAGCATGATAAATGATATTTGGATACATACACATGCACAGCTAGGAAAGTTGCCAATATGTACATACTTATGCATATGAAAAAAGTGATATCATCCCGAGGCTTGAGACTTTGCCGTTATCCACCAGCTGCTTCAGTTGCCATCTTTGTAGAGTGATAAAAATTTAGCAAATAAGGCGACAAAATCAATAAAGTAATTACTGGGAATAGTGTATGGCGTATAGTGGCCCCACATAATTATACATATATACATATAATACACACACACACATATATATATATATATATATATATATATATATATATATATATATTTGTATTTATATTTATATGTACTTGTCGAGTCGTGTCTTCAATTCCAACTCCATTTGATTTGACAATCCAAAGAGAGACGGAGCTTCAATTGATTCTAGGAATACCAATATACCTACATACATACATATGTACATTAAATCTGTGTTCAGCGCTGGTATATATGACGTAATTTGTGCTCCAAGCTGAAAATTTTGTTTTGTGAAGAGATGGTGAGGTAGTGATGTGTGTTAAAATTGTATACAAACTTGATCGGAGCAAACGCGCTTGCATTTGAGGCATTCTCAATTTTGACCTAGCAAATGCTGTATTTGTAATGTCTGGCGTCTATATGCGCGCATGTCCGCATTTGTGTGCGTTCTTGTGTATATACCAGGCATATATTTTCTCTCACTCGCTCTCTCCCACTCGTAGCTATGCTTTTGTGTGAGTGTGCCAAACTCTAAGAGAATTGTACTCACCAAATTACATGTACAGTTACATTCACATAGATTCCGTTAAATATGCCTTAAAAACCCAAGTGGCATTAGCATAGATATATGAGCATACCTTCGCGTATGGCTAATTGAATTTAATTTTCTTATGCCCTTGCAAATTTTCATATATATATATATATATATATATATATATATATATATATATATATATATATTGAACCTTCACGAAACTTAAAGTATAAAAGTTGTGTCTATCGCACACGATCAAGATTTGTTTAATATTATTGACACCCGTCCGTTGGGTAGACATATACAAAATGCGAATTTAAGCCTTTCAATTATTATTGTTTTCTTTTGTTTCTGCGCAGATATTTGTTTTAGAGCTGTTAATAAAATTGATGTATATGGGAATAGAACTTATTTCACATGTTTTAAATGTTTCCGTTTGGTATACTTCAACTTAGAAATTGGAAAATCAATCAAAAGTAAATATACACTAAAGCAAGAAAGAATGTTCTAGTTAGAATTTTCGTTAATGTCAACTTTGAAGGTCTGCCCGAAACTTTGAGTCATGATCTTCTCAGATTTGCCACTTCCTTTAGAGGCAAACATATATAATTTTTTGTAAACTAAGGTCGTTAAATTTTGAACTTTTGAAGAAATTTCAGCTCTAAATCTAATTATACATATAATATAATTTTAATAGCCAAGTATAATCAATTGACATGATGCTAAAGATTCAATGTCTTGATGCAGTTATCAAGTTGTATGAATATTACTAGATTCTACTGGATTGTTGATGAGGTCACAATTTTTGGCAGGTGACGAAACATATAAGATTGAATCATATTAGAATCACGACAAAATCTATTCGCTTATGTCTTTGAACTCAAAATTAATATTTACAATGGTTCCATATATCATTATCAGACTATTGAGATATTCTTAACAATAAAGAATAAAAAAACTTATCAGCAGAAATGCGGTCAAAAGCAAGTTAAATCCACTTTTGGACAGAAAGGGCTTACGTCATAACCAAAGACGTCATTGCATGCCTATCTTGACTGGTTAACCACACACGCATTCACAATTATACAGCTATATATGTATAAAGAAATACGTCTTGAGTTCTTTCATATATATTATATACATATATATAATATAAATATATTTACAGATTCGTCGACTTTATCATCGTTTGAGGGGCGACAAATTTATAGATCTGCGAATGCTACTCCAAATATATGTTATATATTATAGATAGACAGGTTATTAGGAATCTCATGCATGAGCTACATGTACACGTCTAATTAGCTTGTGTAGAAAACTCAACTATAAAGTATTAACGCTAGCTTCAAAACTTTGAAAAACATGGTTTTTCCCGATTTTTTTCGATTATTATTTTAGTAGATTAATAGAGGTTTTCAGTTCTACAACTATAGAATGTATAGTTTTTCCCGAATTTCCTCGTCTCCAATGGACGTATACATCCATCTTTTTGATCATGGGTTTCAAGTACAGATATAGTATTTCCCAAAGACTTTTAAGAATATTTGATCACTATTTAGTTATTGGAGAGCGCGAAGCTCTTAAGCATTACATTCACTTCCTTTGACTTTCCATACAGTTCTCAAATGGTTACATCTCTACAAGGCAACCAAGTAGATCTTCGAACCGGCAAGTTTCTGCCCACTACTTTTGATTAGTAGTAATAGTAGACATCAATTGTAATTAATTAAATAATCAACTTTATTTGAACCCAAATAAACAAATGTTATTCACTTAAAGTCAACGGGAACCAGTTTTGCTTTTGTCATGTGAAAGTCCCAGCTACCTAACTTGAAAAATGATCCAATATATTATATAAATATACGTAAAGGGTTTGTTGTTTGTTACATAAATAATAATAAAAATTTTTATAATTAATCACCTCGAATTATCCTCCATATTTCTCCAGTAAAAATTTAATAGTGTCTATTTATTGCCAAATTAGGAATGCTGCTGAATTCCTTTTGAGTATGAACTTTAATGCTATTTTATTTAGTTTTTTCGCTGAGGTCGACATCGAACTGTAATTCCTATTCGCCCATCATTACAAGCTCTCTTTGCTTGCTGCTCAGCATTTTGCCCAGGCGCATTTTTGATTTATTTTCGAAATGCGGATGCTGTACGAATGTGTATTACAAATTCTGAAACTAAACAGTTGCTTCTGTGTGTGAGTGCGTGAGTGTGTGTGCGTGTGTGTGTGCGTGTGTGTGTGTGCGTGTACGTGTCTATACATACACGAATAACAAAATATACTTGCGCGTTGCATAGGAGTTGGTGTTTTACTGCAGACAATAATCGCACAGGCAACAACAAATTCTAAACAATATATAATTATATTCAAATAGATATAGATACAGATACATCCCCTCATGCACATATTAACTAAAAATGTGCGTTCTTACTCTCTCTTTCTCTCACACTACTCTGCCGCTCTCATCCCAATATGAAACAATCTATCTCAATGTGAGAACTGTTGCCAATTCGCCTGGCGGCAATTATAGCTATATTGAATAATGAAATGAAACTTTTGATAAACAATTGATAGCTGCCTGCTCATATCTTGCCACACTTTGCGAACAGATTCCTCGAATAAACTGCCAAAAATGACAATAAGCATACAATCGCCCAAAGATAAGCTTCAGTTTTATTACACAGAAATTTGAGTGTTGTTTGACAGAGCTGGAGATTTGCTTAATTTTACTTGAATATTGATATAGAGTCAACAAACCCCATTATACATTCTTTCTAGTGTTTTGGCTGGTCTTTTTTTGAGGCACTGGAAAGTTCGCAACACAATGTGAGCTGCAGACAACAGTTGGCAAAGACGCGAAAAATTCTACACAAAATATCTAATTATATTCAAGTTAACATATATATATTATATATTATATATATATAATCTGTCTGTGCGTATTTGTTTATGTATATATATGTCGAAGTGAAAATTATCTTCTAGTGGCCGTTTAATGTCCTCCCTGTCCATATTTCTCTCTCGCACTATAGACGTCGGGCTCCCAAAACTATAATTACACATATATATCTACTATGCATGTCAAACTATTATTACACTCATATATACCATGCATGTCAGACAAACGCATGCAAAGAATTATATTTGAGGTATCAGTTGAACATATAGATCACATTAAATGTAATTTCTTAAACAAAAATCAATAATAAGAGTCAAATATTATGAATGCTTCCAATCTGTTCATGTAGTCCAAAAATGTAGTTCATGGAATAAATCTGGCATTTAGGTCTGTGTAAATATAATATTATAAATATAATTTTAAATAATTTATGTTTATGTTATACTTTGAATACCGGCTCCAAATTTCCCCAAATACTTTAAATTTGTGTCGGTTTCTTTTTTATACCCTGATCCCATTAAAAATGGGAAATCAGGGTATAATGGTTTTGTGCAAATGTATGTAACAGGCAGAAGGAGGCGTGGCAGACCCCATAAAGTATATATTCTTGATCAGGACGACAAGCCGAGTCGATTGAGCCCTATCCATCTGTCTGTCCGTATGTGTGAACGCGTGGATCTCAAGCATCTATAAGAGCTAGAGACTTGAATTATTTTTTGTAGGTCCGTGTATAGCACGCGCATATCGAGTTTGTTTCAAATATTTGATAACTATTCGCATTTAATTGTTATCAAATAAAAACATGATTGACCTGCAGTTAATAAATTATATCTCAGACGTCTTTAAAGCTAGAGCATCCAAATTTTGTATTTAGTTTTATGTGTTTTATGCAATTTTGATTTTTGTTGGATTTTGGGTACCGGCTCCAAATTTCCCCAAATTCTTAAAATTTAAGTTTAGTTGGAAATGGGGCCAATAGAATATGTAGATCATATGCTGAAAATATATGCTTAAAATCTATTAAGTAAAAAAGAAGTCATTAAGCAAAACGTTTGGCCAATTTGCAAAAGCACATGTCAGCAGCGCCACGCGCACGCAGTTTTCCTATGCGTGTGCACACATACATTCAAATGCGTGTATTCTTTTCTATTCGAAGAATCGAAATCGCGATTGAATTGTGCTTCAAATTAACAAATTAACTTCAAATTTGCAACTCATTTTGCAAGCAGTGCAGTGGGTGCGTTGGTGGAGGCGTCGCTCGTAAGCGGGGGTTCGAGTCTGGCGGCGTTGGGACATTGTTTATTGTCTTATTTTTTAATTATGAAGTGGCGGTGTTTGTAGAGTTGGTGAGCGTTACGTAGAATTTTGGTGTCATAATGTCGATTTTTTTTTTGGTTTTTTTTTTGTTTGAATACTCGATACGAACTACGGAAAATATTAAAAAGCGTAAATAGGACTGGAATCATGGTATTAGGGTAGTCGAGCACCCCGACTAAAACTTTCTTACTTGTTTTCTTTGCGATTTTTGTATATCGATACCTAAGCTCGCTTACAATGTGTACACAGCGTACTTTGCTTTTTTGAGCAACATCCGAACTAGAGTCCGTCCGTCCGTCCAGAGAAGTGTCTTGTATATTTGTATATGCATGCTTGTACCCTTGTCTTATGACATGCTATGATGTTCTTAATACGCTCACTAAGGACAAATCGGAAAATACTGTTAGAAAACTATGGTTTATCCTTGTATGCCGCGCCCGCGACAGGTGCGGATACGGATTGACAACATCCAATACTCGCTTTGTTCTGGTTAATTTGTTGATTGCTGGAAAATAACCAAAAGTTAAATTTTTTCCTATAGATATTATAACCAATGGCCACAATCGATGGAAGACCGGCGCAATATGGGATATCACTTAAGCAATTACGAGAGCTCATGGAGCATCGAGGAAGAGAAGGTGTAAATAAAATCAGTGAGCTCGGTGGCATTCATGAGTTATGCAAAAAATTGTACACATCCCCAAATGAAGGTATATGCAAATACTTAAAATGTACTAGGGAAAAGCTTTTTACTAATTATTCATTTTCTGCTGGGTTTCTATCCAGGTCTTAGCGGGTCGAAAGCTGACGAGGAGCATAGACGTGAAACGTTTGGCTCAAATGTAATACCACCGAAACCCCCAAAAACATTTTTAACGCTAGTCTGGGAGGCGCTTCAAGATGTTACACTTATAATATTAGAGGTAGCTGCGTTAGTATCACTTGGTCTATCGTTTTACAAGCCAGCAGATGAGGATGCGCGTGAGTCTAAATATATAAATAAGACTTAATTTCCTATATATATTATATTTTACATATATAAATATATTGATTTAATTGTAGCTCTACTTCAAGAAGAAGATGAACACCACGGTTGGATCGAGGGTTTGGCTATACTTATTTCGGTCATTGTTGTTGTGATAGTGACGGCTTTTAATGATTACTCAAAGGAGCGACAATTTCGAGGTCTCCAGAACCGTATCGAAGGCGAGCACAAATTTTCAGTTATTCGAGGCGCCGAGGTATGCCAAATATCGGTCGGGGATATCCTAGTCGGTGATATTGCACAGATCAAATACGGCGATCTCTTACCAGCTGATGGTTGTCTTATACAGAGCAATGATCTAAAGGTAATATAAATGGAAATGGAAAATCCATTGTAGTTTTTATATTATTATATTATTTTGGTTATATAAATATATTAAATTTTTGATTTAACATTAATACAAATATTTGTGCACATTATTGAGGTGGACGAATCTTCATTGACTGGCGAATCGGATCATGTGAAAAAGGGCACAGATGCCGACCCAATGGTTTTATCCGGCACCCATGTTATGGAGGGTAGTGGCAAAATGGTTGTAACAGCCGTTGGAGTTAATTCACAGGCTGGAATCATTTTCACACTGCTTGGAGCTGCTGTAGATGAGCAGGAAGCCGAAATTAAAAAGATGAAAAAAGGTATGTGTTTGCAATAATATCGTACAACACATAAGACAGAAATAATTGTAATACACACAAATTGTAAACCAAAGGTGCGAGAGCAAATAAATTAGTGTATCTGCCAATAACTATATAAAAATAATATATATATATATATATATATATATATATATATATATATATATATATATATATATATATATATTTCCTATAACACATATTCGTACTTTACCTAATAAGAATTCTTTACTACCGAAACTCTTTAATTTAATATCGTTTATTTTTTATTTTTATTTTTTCATATACCAAATGTCACGTGAATTGCATGATGTGAATTGATTGACCCATCTTTGAACTCCTTCATCTACCTAAATATAAAAAAATGTAACCAACCAATCAACCAATCAATCAATCAACCAATCAACCAAACAACCAATCAATCAATCAACCAACCAACCAACCAACCAACCAACCAACCAACCAATCAACCAACCAATCAACCAACCACCATCTACAAACACCAAAAAAAATAAAATAATTAATTGCTTTAACTTAAATTGTTAATGGATCGAACCGAATGAATCGAAAAACAACAAAATATTAAAATTTCCATAACTTAGAAGCTAAAAAGGCGAACAAACAAAAGAGTAAAAGCCAGACAGGTGAATTACTAATTACCTTGTGTCTTGTTGTGTGTAGCTTCCGTTAAGATATTAACATTCTTATATGCGAATCAAACTTTTCAAATGGGGCTTGCGCAATTCTTCTAATTTTAACTTTTTAACTTAAAATACGAGTTATGATTATGAGTAAATCATTGAACATTAAAGTCGAGTCGAGTCGCATTAAAATGTTTCAGTCTGGCTTGCCTCTACTAGGCGAAATTAAGAATCCATTCCAATTATCCCTCGTAATGCAGGAGTATATGTATCACATTTTAGCTATTCAAGCTGCCACCCACAAATTGAAAGTAGCTAGAAAATACTGCACTTTCTTGATTACTTAATAATTAATTGACAATTAACGTTAGCAAAGCTTAGCCTTTAATTCTAAAGTTAATATCAGTTCTTAATTTGAAATATGTATCTAGAATAGATCCTCTATATAACCGTATCACTCAATTACAAATTATGTATGACTGTTATTGATATACATATAGATATAGATATAAATATCTTTTTACCAAGCCTATATATATATATATTAATGTGGGAAAAAATATTTTCTCCTCGAGTGTATATATAGTTGTAGTACAGTCACTAAAAAAGCAAGGGTATATAAACATCAAAAAAGTAAACTTAAAATACCATAAAAGAAAAAAGGTATATGCAACATATTTAATGTTAATATTATTTTGCGGATCATGCAGGTGAAAATGATGGCCGTGCGCCAATGAAAGAAACATCTCATGCGCCAACTCAATATGCCAGCGAGGCCATCAAATCTGAATCGGATGGAAATCATGTGCAGCCATCTACATCAGCTGCTGAAACTGGACACAAGAAAGAAAAATCGGTGCTACAGGCGAAATTGACGAAGTTGGCAATACAAATTGGTTATGCTGGTTCCACGATAGCCGTGCTCACCGTTATTATACTGATTATACAGTTTTGCGTTAAGACATTCGTCATCGATGAGAAACCATGGAAGAACACCTATGCCAATAATCTGGTCAAACACTTGATTATCGGTGTCACAGTATTAGTTGTGGCTGTCCCCGAAGGACTTCCACTGGCCGTAACGCTATCTTTGGCCTATTCGGTGAAAGTAAGTAAAGTCATAATAAATACATAATTTTCTCTCATTGACATTGTCTTATCCCTGCGCTGCCAAACAGAAAATGATGAAGGATAATAACTTGGTGCGTCATCTGGATGCCTGTGAGACAATGGGTAACGCAACGGCTATATGCTCCGATAAGACAGGCACGCTAACGACCAATCGTATGACTGTTGTACAATCCTACATTTGCGAAAAGCTATGCAAGGTGCTGCCAACGCTTGCCGATATACCACAGCATGTCGGAAATCTAGTCACTATGGGCATATCTGTCAACTCGGCTTATACCTCCAACATAATGGTAAAATTTTTCATACTTAAACACAATTATAAAATAACTATAGGGAAACAAAGATGTTAAACGATAAGCTAATTAGTCAAATCTAGATGAAATTATGAGTTAAAATGTCGCATTACTTTTGTTAGTTGCTAAGTCCTGCTTTCCAGTGAAATTAGTTTAGTTCAAAGTACAAATAATTCGTGGATAAAACTATACTTTATTTTTCTAACACTTATGTTTTTGGAAATCAATGAAAAGAGGATCAAAATATGATACAATATTGTAAATTTTTTTGCAGCCTGGTCAAAATCCGACCGACTTACCAATTCAAGTGGGCAACAAAACGGAATGCGCTCTACTAGGATTTGTTCAGGGTCTGGGCGTTAAATATCAATCGATACGCGATGAAATACCCGAGGATAGATTTACACGTGTTTACACCTTCAACTCTGTACGGAAAAGTATGGGTACAGTAATACCTCGGCCCAACGGCGGCTTTCGATTGTATACCAAGGGTGCTTCCGAGATCATCATGAAGAAGTTTGTCTAATAATTTCACATCCATACATTCATTAAGAGATAATACCATCCATACATTCTTCTTTATTAATTATTGCAGATGCGCCTTTATCTATGGGCATGAGGGCACATTGGAAAAGTTCACACGCGACATGCAGGACCGTTTAATTCGGGAAGTAATTGAGCCGATGGCTTGTGATGGGTTACGTACTATTTCTGTTGCCTATCGCGATTTTGTGCCCGGCAAAGCGGCAATCAATGAGGTGCACATCGATGGAGAGCCCAATTGGGATGATGAGGAAAATATTATGTCGAATTTGACCTGCCTGTGTGTTGTGGGAATTGAGGATCCCGTCCGTCCCGAGGTACCGGATGCCATACGGAAATGCCAAAGGGCTGGGATTACTGTACGCATGGTTACTGGTGATAATATTAATACGGCTCGTTCGATTGCCAGCAAATGTGGCATTTTACGACCCAACGACGACTTCCTCATACTGGAGGGTAAAGAGTTTAATAGACGTATTCGCGACAGCAATGGCGATGTAAGTCCAATAAGACCAAATGTATACCTTAATGCAATTTATATATATATATATATATATATATATAAACATATATATATATATATATATATATATAAATAAATGTTTTTTCTTCAACAGATCCAGCAGCATCTCATTGACAAAGTGTGGCCGAAGCTCCGCGTGCTTGCACGCTCATCACCTACAGATAAATACACTTTGGTAAAAGGTAATCTCTAAAAGCAAAATTTATTAACTAATTCATTGTTCATTAAACGTTATTCATTATTATTTATAGGTATGATCGACAGCGCCGTGACCGACAATCGGGAGGTTGTTGCCGTTACTGGCGATGGTACAAATGATGGTCCAGCTCTAAAGAAGGCCGATGTTGGATTTGCGATGGGTATTGCAGGAACGGATGTTGCCAAAGAAGCATCTGACATTATACTCACTGACGATAACTTTAGTAGCATTGTCAAAGCTGTTATGTGGGGTCGCAATGTTTATGATTCAATTGCGAAGTTTTTGCAGTTCCAATTGACAGTAAATGTCGTCGCAGTCATTGTAGCCTTTATTGGTGCGTGTGCGGTACAGGATTCACCTCTTAAAGTAAGTATGGCTATAAATCTAATTAAAATAAATTAAAAATAAATCTTATTAATCTAAGTTGTTTAGTTACTTTTATACTTTGGTGGATCCTTGTCTTAAATTAGACTGTCTGATCTCTTGTATATTTAATTTCTTATTACGACTTTCCTGATGGATGTGCAATTTTTATTCGCAGGCAGTGCAAATGTTGTGGGTTAATCTTATTATGGATACACTTGCATCTCTCGCTTTAGCAACAGAAGTACCGACGCCTGATCTATTGCTTCGTAAACCATATGGACGCACAAAGCCCCTTATATCACGCACAATGATGAAAAATATATTGGGGCAAGCTCTGTACCAGTTGGTAATCATATTTAGCCTCCTCTTTGTCGGTAAGAATACTTGAGAAATTTTGATAATTCAATTGGAATTGATTATTTTCTTGCAATTTATCAGGTGATTTAATACTCGACATTGAATCTGGTCGTGGACAGGATCTTAACGCTGGACCAACCCAACATTTCACAATAATCTTTAACACTTTCGTCATGATGACCCTTTTCAATGAGATCAATGCCAGAAAAATACACGGCCAGCGCAACGTTGTTGAGGGTCTTTTCACAAATCCTATATTTTACACCATCTGGATATTCACAATGATTTCTCAGGTATGTTCATTTGTATATATGCCGTAACTTATTTAAACATGATAATATTATTTTAGTATATAAAGATAGTTTAATATATATCTCAGAAACATAAGTTGAATTCATCTAAACTATAATCTCACAAATTACAAAACTTGTAAATTTTCAATTTCCATTGAAAACGGAAATTTAGGATATAAGATTTTGTGAAAATGTGTGAAAGAGGCATATGAAGGTGTGGCCACCCGAATTAAGTATGTAATATATTGACCCTGACGACGAACTCCGTCGATCTAGCCATGTCCGCCTGTCTGTTCACATGACTTGATATTTTGAATACATCGTACGAGCTTATCAATTTGTTCGATAATTCATCCCATTCGCGATTAAAGCCGATCATTTGATTTTGGGCTTAAGCGTAATTCAAATAAAACATAAGATGGGAACCTAGAATATATTATTACTATAGCACTTTTAACTGTGTTGGCGAGGTCCATTTATATCTAATCATTTGTATTTTGCAATCTAGGTTGTAATTATTCAATACGGGAAAATGGCCTTCTCAACAAAAGCGCTGTCTCTCGATCAATGGCTATGGTGCATATTCTTTGGAATCGGAACACTAGTCTGGGGACAATTAATCACTTCAGTGCCTACAAGAAAATTGCCTAAGATATTATCGTGAGTAAATTTTTGTTATTTGTGTTAAAATTTATTTTTGTTAGTTTGAATGTTAAATGTGAAATCCCTAAAATACGCAACAATCTGAGTCCGAATCCTTTTAAATCTAACAGAGATTAACAGTATTTTAAGTAAACATGTTGTATATATTTATATTATGTTAATAATGTTTTTGTAATTATATACTTGTGTTGTGTGTATTTGTTCTTCTTTAATTAAAATGGCTAAAAATGACTGTCCTTTTTGCCTTTCCTCTCCTCTCCTTAGCGCTGCTGACTAACGCTTAACGCTTCAGAATGCTTTCCTATTGGGTTACACACACAGTTCCACACAACAGCCACACACACGCACACCCAAACAAGCACACACACACACGCACACCCAAACAAGCACACACACACACGCACACCCAAACAAACATACACACACAACCACACACACTCACTCACAGACACACACACACACACACACACACACACACACACACATACACATACACACACACACACACACACACACACACACACACACACATACACATACACACACACACACACACACACACACACACACACACACACACACACATACGCAAACAAACACACACAAACAAACACACACACGCACATGTAGTTAATTATACAGTTTATTTAATATACTTGTTTATAAATAAAAATTTTTTATTTGTTATGCAATAAATGTATTTTACGTATATTATCCAATATAAGTATATAATTGTATTTATTATTCACCTAAGTATAAGTATTATTATTATTGTAGTAGTAAGTATTATTATTATTATTGATCATATATATAAGAAATTGGCAGATTAAATGAAGTGCATTAGATTGGCATGACAAGAGAAAAGTAGATATAGATGAAGGTCGACAACATAGGAGACCGTAGGAGAAGGGAGAAGATGGGAGCTCAAATAGCAAGAAGCTGGATATCTCACTATACCGCTCGATAAAACTAGTTGTCAATTGCAATTGTTAAGGAATACAAATAGCAATGGGCAAAGTGAATGAAGCCAACTGGTTGCTAGTCGCCAATATAGTCTACAACAGCAACGGACAGCGATAAATGACTTTAGAAATTTATGTATGTATATATATATATATATATATATATATATATGTGTGTGTTTATGTTTCTATGTGTACAACATTGATCAAAGAAAATTTGTATAATCAGAACTCATTGAAAGTTAGCTTCACGTTTACTGTGTAGCCCTTGTGATGAATTGGCCTTCTCGGCATACCTCCTCTCAGTCGACCAAATTATAGCTTAGTATATATATTATTATTATTGTAGTAGTAAGTATTATTATTATTATTGATCATATATATAAGAAATTGGCAGATTAAATGAAGTGCATTAGATTGGCATGACAAGAGAAAAGTAGATATAGATGAAGGTCGACAACATAGGAGACCGTAGGAGAAGGGAGAAGATGGGAGCTCAAATAGCAAGAAGCTGGATATCTCACTATACCGCTCGATAAAACTAGTTGTCAATTGCAATTGTTAAGGAATACAAATAGCAATGGGCAAAGTGAATGAAGCCAACTGGTTGCTAGTCGCCAATATAGTCTACAACAGCAACGGACAGCGATAAATGACTTTAGAAATTTATGTATGTATATATATATATATATATATATATATATATATATGTGTGTGTTTATGTTTCTATGTGTACAACATTGATCAAAGAAAATTTGTATAATCAGAACTCATTGAAAGTTAGCTTCACGTTTACTGTGTAGCCCTTGTGATGAATTGGCCTTCTCGGCATACCTCCTCTCAGTCGACCAAATTATAGCTTAGTATATATACATGTACTTATATAATAATATAATGATTCATAATATATGATATATGATATATGATATATGATATGTGATATATGATATATGATATATGATATATGACATATGACATATGATATATGATATATGATATATGATATATGATATATGATATATGATATATGATATATGATATATAATATATGATATATGATATATGATATATGATATATGATATATGATATATGATATATGACATATGACATATGACATATGATATATGATATATGATATATGATATATGATATATGATATATGATATATGATATATGATATATGATATATGATATGATATATGATATATGATATATGATATATGATATATGATATATGATATATGATATATGATATATGATATATGATATATGATATATGATATATGATATATGATATATGATATATGATATATGATATATGATATATGATATATGATATATGATATATGATATATGATATATGATATATGATATATGATACATGATATATAATATATGATATATGACAGTGAATTAATTGCATAAATAATTTCTAAAAATCGACATGATTAGTTCGTTAAATAATATATTTAGATTTAATACAATATCATAATGAACTGTAAATATTTTTATTGAGACTTTAAATATTTATATTTGTTTTCATTTCAAAGAAACTATCTTCGGATTTCACGATAATATCTACCTTTCAGATACTGCCGTATATATCTATAATGTAACTTGTAACAATGATAATTTGTTTATAGATGGGGTCGTGGACATCCTGAAGAATATACGGATGCTATGAATTTGGGTGAGGAGCGCTTTGATTCGATTGACTCTGATAAAAAACCAAGAGCTGGACAAATCTTATGGATTCGCGGCCTGACTCGTCTGCAAACTCAAGTAAGTTTTTGTTGTTAGTCCATTTTATATATATATATATATATATATATATATATATATATATATATATATATATATATATATATATATATATATATATATATATAGATATCTTAAACAGAAGAAACAAAGAAAAATTGAGTACTGAATTTATATATATATATATATATATATATATTTATATTTATATATATATCTATATCTATATATATATATATATATATATATATATATATATATATATATATATATATATATATATATATATATATATGTATTGTTTTGTGTTTCTTTTTGAGTTTCTTTTCTTTTTGTCATTATTATTTGTAAGCTATCATTTGATTTGAATTCATAACACAAATTTCAAATTAATAGTGGGAAGAAGAAGAAATGAAACAGCAATAATGGGAAAGGGTTAATAATTTTCCCCTGGCTGGCAGCAAACAAACAAAGTTAGTAGTGCAATGTTCTAAAATGCAGTTATCATATATATTTGTATTGCTTAGCAATTGATCAAAGTAAAAAGAGAATTAGGAACATTGGAAGGCTTAGCAATGTTGGAAGCCCTAATATTTTCAGATACTTATTTAGGACGTCAATACTTCAAGGACAAGGCCTGCACATCATATTTTTTGTGAAGATTAAATATTGAAAATCTATAATCAGCGCCTCATCAAAACCCCTATTTCTATAGCTGTTAAAGCAATATAGTTTGTGGATTTTGTACTTGTAAGCGTCGACTGCGTAAATCCAAAATAGATACTTGCATAAACAAGCGACTATTTTTTAGCCCTGAACCCATTGAAAATTTGAATTTTTTCGAAGATGTGTGTAACAGAAACAACAGGGCTTTGCCAAATGCCAGGATGTGTGTATGACGCTATCTCGCTTTGCAAATGTAATAAGAAAGGGTTTCCGATAGTCAAGCAATAGGTAATTGGTTAACTTTGGTGAAGATCGCATTGCCAATATCGATTATCAATACATTGATCAATATCAATGGCTTCTTTTTGAGATTAGTTTATCCGTTTACGTGCACCACAGAAAGAAGAGCATTAAGTAACAGTTTTTATCACATGATCTTTTTACCACTCATGTCTTGTCTCTATATACTAATTTCTGATTTCTAAATTTTTTTTTTAAATTGGTTGTTATTTTTTAACATTTATATAATTTCAATCATTTCGTGTTCCAAGTTTTGGTAAATCACTCTTTATATATTGCTCCAGTGCTAACAAGCTGTGACATACATTTCAATCGGACCAATTGTTCTCCTCTGAGATTGAGAAAATATGAAAACAAAATCAGAAATATTTTCAAATAGTCTAAACTGAAAGTCCAAATGCCCCTTGACCACACTGCGTAATTAATAGTAAAATTTAGGCGTTCCAATCAGTTGAAAAGCGATTGTTCGAGGAAATTTTGAATGGGATGCTGTCAAACTAGTATATATACATACATATATATATATGTATATATATGGATATGAGTAGCCAACATGCATATATAGTTTGTTTTTGTAGTTAAATATATTTAAAGTAGAAAACGATAAAAACAAATTAAAAAAAACCACATATCTGTCTAAGCTTTTGTTGTTCTTCTCATTTTACTCTGCCTACCTCTCCATCTCAGTCTCTCTCTCTCGATCTCTATATCGATCTCTATCTCTATCTCTTCCTCTGTCTTTGTCTCACCTGCTCTCTCTGGCTTTGCATTTTTTTGTATATCTTTAAAGCTTCGTGAAACTTTCAATCCATTCTTGTCTTTAAAATTTTGCTCTTCGAGTCTCTTATATCAAATCGTATTTGTGTCTAGATTTATAGGTTTACATGAATGCGTATTTCAATGTATATTATATATATATATATATATATATATATATTTGTGTTTATGTCTAGTGTGCGAGATCATGGATGCTTTCACCGGATCGTTTTACTTGTACCTTTTGTAATAACAATTTAAGCATTCAAATCCGAAAATTGATAACTTAATATACATATATGTATATAAAGAAAAATAAAAAAAAAATTAAAAACGTAAACCTAATTTACAAATAAAAACATATATCAGTTTTAATTTTTCGTCTTCTGAATTTCAATTTGCTAAGCTAAGTATAATGAATGAATTAATATAGGAGCTTTGTTCGCATATTAAATATCAAAAATGTATAAAACGTACGCAAAAAACATGAGATTTTGAATGCACAATTTCTGTAGGTCGGGTCACAGTTATATTTCGCGATAAACTATACTTCTTCCAGAAAAATTTCCCTCGCTTCCTTTTCTTCTTTCCTCGCTGCAAGTCGCGTTTTCTATTATAGAAATTATTAACTTATCTTTTAGACCCTGAATATTTTATATATATTTTTTGTTATTCTGTATTTCTTTTATATTTGCTTATAATTTTTAAATTACCTATTATATATTAAATACCAATCTCCAAAAACAATTTGGTTTTTATATACATATAAATCTGTATTGTTTTTCGAAACTTTAAATTTTTCTGTGACACTCGCATGCGAATTGTAATCCATACACGAAATCGTCCTTAGCTTCTTCTCTTCAGTGATTATAATATATAGAATACTACATACTTTAACGATACCTCAAAACTCTTTTTATCATATACATACTTCTCTATAAGAATACACTGTATACTGCATTCCCCTATATAGTATATATTGGACATGGCTTAGGTTATCCTATCTATTCCGGGTTAAGAAGAAACCATCTACAATGCACATATGGTACAAGCTTTTTAATGTAATACACGAATATATATATATATATATATATATATATATATATATATATATATATATATATATATATATATATATATATATATATGTATATATGTTCATGTAAATGCTTAGCTTTTAGGTACTCTATATAACATTATTCCTTTTATTCCCAAAATCAAAGGAGCTTTGCCATAAATATTTGGACAAGTACCTGAATAAAAATGATAATCTAAAGTCAGAATGTTTGAGTCGGGCGTGACCAACTGCGTAACATTCGTTCGCAGTCCAAAATCTGTTAAATGCAGTCGATTGCAAAATTCGATTCCAAAAAAATTTAAAAGTTTATCTTCGTCATATCAACACAATTCTGCACTAACTCAGTCGCCCAATTTAGAATTTCAAGTGTTAAAATTGCGTAGTATGTACAGTTTTCCCCAACTTCCCACGCCTTCATAGAATTTGATAATTAAATTTTTGTTCAAACTGTGGCGTAGGCTCCAACACTGCAAGATACCGTTGTTCCTTTGTTCAGTTTTTCCTCCTATAAGTAGAGAGGAAGTGCTCCGATCGACCAAATGAGGAAAAATATATTGACTACAAAAACAGATATTACGATAAGAAAACAGCAGAAGCAAGAACCACTAATTAACAATTACTACCATTGTATTCCCCTTTTATATGAAAAAAACGATTGAATATAACAATTTTATAATACTCTTTTCATTTTTTCGCTCTCCTTTTATTATATAATATATGCTTAAAACCAATTCTGAACGAACGAACGAATGATTGAATGAATAATTGACGTAAAACGCCATCGACATTACAAACAAAATCAAAAATATTATAAATTATAAATGAACAACAAAAAAATATGTATAAATATCCCAATCTATATAATATATAATATATCCATTTACATATATATATATACATATATATATATACATATATATATATATATATATATATATATATACATATATATATATATATATATATATATATATATGTTACTCGTAAACCTCAACTCTCACCTCCAGATTTCAGTGCCGGTAAGAAAAAGTGTATATTTCTTTAATTTATTGGCAACTAGACCGATGTTTTTGTCATATATATCCCAGCTTACATACCCGTATAACCCTAGCCCCACTAAACCCCATCCTAACCAAAAAACACAATTTAAACACACTTTTCACTTTACTCCTCCACTCCAAGATTTCTTTCTGTTGATCTGTTTTCATTTCTTTCAAATAGAATGCTACGCTATATGGTACTTACATATAAATATATATATATAATATATATATATATATATATATATATATATATATATATATATATATATATATATATATATATATATATATATATATATATATATATATATATATATATATTATTAGAGTCTGTACTACATTACAAGACTACCTGCTGAATTTTTTAGTTATATTCAACAGTTTAATTTCCAATGTTCTAATTTTATTTTAGTTGTTTGAATGTGTGTTTGTAGTGCTTAATGTCAATCGTATTTGATCTCATATCTTAACTATATACAAAATGTACATAAAGGAAGTGCACTCTCTATTCATTTTTTTCTTTTCGATCCTTTCGATCTGTTCGAACTTTTCACAACTTTCCAATCGAAACTGAAATAAGTAAATTCCCCTTGTTCGACTATTCGACATTGGTGGCATCTACTTATACATGAATGTATGTATGTATGTGCGTATGTGTGTGTATACATACTATATTTATATATATAGAATAAGCGTTGCGTTATGCTTATGCAACCTGGACAGAACTCGTTTCAGTCAACAATTTTATTTACAGTAAATAAGTCTTATGTTTTTAAACGAGGTCCGAACTGATTTTCTCGACCCATTTATATATATATATATATATATATATATATATATATATATATGCTCATTACCTTTAAGTTTCCAACTATCCTGTCTTTCCACAAACTACAATTTCATAATGTCACAGTTTGAAAGTCACTGCTTAGTCGCTATATATAAATATAGACAAATTGAGATAAGAATAGGCAACTCCAATAAGAGACATCGATAAGAATATCGACAACTATCGTATAAACTAGGGTCAGATCGTTGCGCAGTTATGGAATCCGTACATAATGTTTTAAGTATTATTTTGTTGCTAATTTTGATTAACTAATTTAATTGTCTCATCTGTTTATCCATCACGAAGACCGTTATTCAAAAATATATTTGTTTCTTTTTTTGTTTAGAATTAAGATTCCCATCTCATAAGTATATACATTTATTTTTATACTTAACAGATCTTTTCTAAAGGTTGAATTAATAATGTTCAGTTGTCCACTTTATTTTTGTTCGTTTTTCCTAATATTTTCTTTTAATTTTTTCTCTCTTCTGTTTGTCTGAAAAAGTAAAATATTTATCAAAATTGTCTTTCATATTCTATTGAAGGTCGCGCTCGTAATCGTGTCCTAAGTTAAATTTTATTTTTTTAGTTGTTTATTCAGATTTTACGTTCTAATTTCTTGTTTTTATTAATTTCTTTATTTTTATTTTCTTCAAACAAAATTTAATATTTTTTCTTTTTATTATATATTATTTCTTTTCATATCATTCTGATATATATTTATATATATATATATATATACTTAAATACATATTTATACATCTAATATTTTCAATAATTTTAGTGCTATTTTTATAGATAGATATATAAGAAATAATTATTTGTTTTTCTTCATTTCAATGTTATTTTCCCAGCCGATTTATGATTGGATGTTGAAATATGTTCATGTCTTTCTGTTTGATCTTCTTATCAGTCATTCTCTCTATTTAGATCTCTCTCACCTTGTCTCTCTCCCATTCTCTCTCTTCCTCTCTCTCTCCCTTTCCCGCTCTCAATCTCTCTCTGTATCTGTCTCTGTCTTTTGCTTTCTTTCTCCAAGTCTATTTTGGTTTAGTTTTTCTTTCTGTTTAGATTTGGATTTGTAAGCAAAAATAAAAACAGAATATTTGTTTTGAAGAGCATTGAGTCTTCGGCTTGGCCGAAGTGAGAAATAATTTACTTTCGTATTATTAGTTCAATATAAATAAACAAACAGACAACACCAACAATGCAAATTACACATACACACATACACACATACACACATACACAGAGAGCCATATTCGTTTATAAAAAGTTTTGAACTAGTTTTACTTTAATCAGTCTGATTTGATTTATCGACTATTTTACTTTGATGGCATACATAAACAAAAACAAATACACAATTTAGCTTCCAACTTGATTTAGTTATTACAAAAGTAATTATTAGATATTTGTTGTTGATTTTTGTAATTTTTAAGCCGGCGGAACCAATACGAGAGACTGAAGTGTAAATTGACAATTTGCAATAAATAAACATCAAGAACTTATGTATATTGTAATGATGTAATACTCATACACCCTCAACTATACCAACAAACACACACCAACACACACACACACCAACACACACACACCAACACACACACACACACACACACACACCAACACACACACACATGCTCCCAACAAAGTGCATAACCGAGAAAAAATGTTAATTGAAAGTATTTCTGTAATCAAAAAGAGAAGAAAAGAAAAGCCAAGAAATCCTAGGGCAGCACAAGTACAACACCCACACCCACACACACACAGAGATGTTTACGTACATTCAATCTATGTGCAACATGTATTCTAAGTAAATATTTCCCAATCAAATGGAACACGAGACAAACAGATTAACAAACAGATTAATTATATTAAGAATATTTGTAGTTAGAGCCAAAGTCTTAGCTACTTACATATGTATGTATGTATGCATGTATGTATGTATGCAAGTCAGAGACAATACGGATATGAAATACATCAATTATCATTAAAATATGTCCAATGTCAATTTTGTTTCAAATAGTTAAGAAAATAGAAAATAGTTCGTGATAACACTTAACTTAATAGCCAGATTATTTCGATGCCCGTAAATACCCCTATAATATAATATAATAATACCAAATAAATCAACTATTGTAAAAGAAACTTATTTACACAGAAGAACATATTTGGGGTGCAGTGGATCTGCTATATATGAATTAGTTATCCTTAACACACATACACACACAGCCACACCCAGACACACACACAGACAATCAAACAAACTAAAGAACAAAACCAAAAAGCAATAATTAAAGAAAAAATGAAATAAAAATGATTAGAAAAGCCACTTGAAATGCAGCTACAACAAAAACCAATACCAATACCAATACCAATAACAATACCGATGCCAATGAGAGGCATAGATTAGACAAGATACTGTATAATGTAGCTCCGATTGTTTGAATGGCGCTAAGACATGGTTATCGATAACTTCGGCCAATATTAATCATATATCGGCAACAAGAAACAGCAGCAAGAACAGCGTCAACTATCGAGATCTATTGAAATTAATATAATTACATCTATTAAAAATTCGAAAAGCAACAAGAACAACAAGAGCATCAACCAAACAAGGTCTTCTTCTTTCTGCTACTATCCACATATGTCTATGAAAATAATTATATTCTACAACTACAAGAACATCAACTACTACTACTACTATCTACTACTATTCTACTATTATCTACAACACTTCTAACGAGCATTGAAACGTATGTAACTTAAAATTTTCAATTCTGTCTTAAACCCCACCTCTCAAGGTAGTTAACAAATCAGCACGTAAATAAGTAAATACAATGCGTATGTACCAAATCAATATTGCCTTCATGCTACGCAAGTCAAAAACTTATATATATTTTTGTTTTTTGTTTTCATTATTTTTGACCTGTTTGAACGAATTTCATTTGCCCATAGTTTAGCAGTCTAAAATCTATTTACTTTTTTTAACACTAAATAATTAAGAAAGAAACATTTTGACTGTGGCATGAGCACAGTAACCACTTATATATACGTACTACGATCTCCTATACATGCATATATAACGCCTATATGCGAATGTAATAAGAGACCCCTATCTATTCTTGCTGCCTAAGTTTTATATGTATATTCCTCTGTGAGCACTCTGCGATATACATACATATCGAATAGATTTTTGTCGTGGCTCTGACGTTCCACTGCGACTTAGCTTTTCACATCCACGATCTATATTTAATAGGAATACACAACTATCAAGAAACAAAAACGAAAACGAAAATAATTTGAAAAGTTTTTAGCCCATTAACTAACACGCTAATGATTAATGATTAACGATTATCGATTTCCGATTGTAAGGGTAGCATTGCCAGATCATTCGATTGCAATTAGGTTAAGTTGAATTATTATTAGATCATCTCACAAATATCCAGCCACTCCGTACAGGAGCTGAAATATATATGAAATATATAGTGTATATGGTATATATCTTATATGGTCAGCATAAACCACTAGTCGTTGCAATACAAATCATTTAACATTTTCAGGACAATGTATGTTAGTCGAGTATGCCTGCGGCTGATTGAGATAATGTGTGTGTGTGCGTCTATATTTATTCTTCGTTAAGAGTTACTTAAGTTGAGTTTTTTTTTACTGAAACCAAACACAAAACAATCTTTGCTGTTGGTAAGAAATTAGCTAAAGTTAATTGTTTTTTGCTTGTATTTTTATTGTAGAAGCTTTGCATACATATAAGAGTCTATGAGTGTATGAGTGTATCAGTGTATGAGTGTGTGCTAGTCAGCACTTCAATCTAATCGATATTTGTGCCAACCACACATGTGTCGATGTACCGCTTGCCTGCCTTCGGACTAAGTGTAAATTAACATTATTTATTCAACTTTTAAAGTTTTTGCATTTTGTTTATTAAATGTCTCTGCACGTACAATATACCTCTAAATATCAGCATCACATGTATGCTTATTCATATGTGTATATAATGGCCGTATACATAAAAGACCTCCTAGATCTCTAATATATACAAAAAATAAATACAATTTTTAAACCTGTTTTCCTGTGTCTATTCTATAATGCCTAATTGCTTTCACTGCTATGCTTTTTTCTGATCTTATTTCTGCCTTTTCTGAATTTGAGTTTATACCTACTTAAATTGCAAATGTGGTTTTAATAATAACAATAACAAAATATAAATAGAACTGATAAATACTTGCCCTCGATTGTGTCCGAGTGTTGAATTGGCTTTCGTCCGTTAAGAATTATTTAAACCTATAGAGACGTCGACTGTAAGCTGCATGCTATGAAACGGCAACCAACCCCGCCTCTTCCCCGCTGGAAGCCACATTTGAGCTGTGTTTTTGTTTTATTACTTGTTAATGTTTCGTTGAGTTTCGCTGATTTGGTTTTTTGATGTGAACGTACTAACAAGTGTATGCGTGCTACATACATACATACTTCATGCATTAGTGTGCATATGCATGTCTATGTATATGTCGATATACAGAGACTTACGTGCATGATACGCATGTATGTGTGTGTGTGTGTGTGTGTGTGTGTGTGTGCGTGCGTGCGTGCGTGCGTGCGTGCGTGCACATGCAAATGTACTAAATGCAAATGTTTGTAGTCTGTAAATATTGAGCCCTTACATTAATTATGCTTATTGTTTTATGTGATTATGTTATTATGTTTCTGTTCGTTTGTTGTCTAATTTCGTTTGGTTTCAGTTGCGCGTGATTCGTGCATTCCGCTCGACCCTGGAAGATCTAAACGAACGGCGCTCAATGCACAGTTTGCATAGCTTGCGTAGCCCCCGGCCGGGAATGCCTACTGGCAGTGGTGTACACCCGCTCTACAATTTAAATCTATTGAGCCCCAATTATAGCAGCAAGCAGCAGCAACAGCAGCAACAACAGCAACAGCAGCATCATCAGCAGCAACAACCGCAGCATGCAACTCTGCCTTCCGATATATCGTACATTGACGAAGATCCACAACAACAGCAGCAGCAACAGCAACGCACTTTACAAAATGGATCAACATCCACATCTGACACACACCCATCGCATTTACCATCTACTCACTCGTCTGTTCGCTCGGGTGGCAGTGGCTTCTCTGACGTTGTCCATAGTCTGCAGCAGGCTAAACATGGGCAGAACGAAACACGAATTTAAGTCACATTTAAGTCACAGCCAGACAGACAGCCAGACCCTTCATATGCCAAAAAAAAAAACAGATTTTAATAATTGACATAGACGTACAGACTCTGTATGAATGCGTATCTGCACATCAGTGCTGTCAACTATGCTGTGATAAATAATGCCTTTGCAAGCTGCTAGCAAAGATGGAAAACAAATGCAAAGATGCAAACGGAGACCCCAAATATATTGTTAATTATTCTTCTGTTCTGTTTACCATTCTTTCGAATTCAAAATAGCAAAATGCAGCAACCAGGCAACCAAGCAACCAACAATTGTCGGGTGCAACAGGATCAAAATCGATTTACTTCCGCACAGAAACCGGCGAGATTGGCAGCACTGATGAGATCGTATATTCACATTCCGCGCCCTTTACACATATCATAATGAGATTCACTTCATGCATTCGAGTGTACATGTACATACACGCAGTCATTGACACACACACACACACACACACACACACACATATATATATCTATATATATATATCTATATATATATATATATAATATTTATATATACATACACACACACACACTCATACACATAGATATCGATATTGATATGTATAACGTGTTTGCCGTATCCCGATAATTATCTACTGTACTAAGAAACCTAATTAACGCTTAGCAAATGTTATTTAAACGCATGATTTTGTATTCTTTTTAATTTTTGTATAAATTAATATTACACTCTTGTGGTACGCGTATTACTAACTATATGAGAAATCAAAAAAAAAAAAAAAAACAAACAATTGTTCATAATTTTTGCTTTTTTTGCCTGTTTTTGAATGCGATTGCATTTGTGGTTGCGACTGCGATTGTGTGCGTATGTGTGAATGAACGTTGAAGGATCAGACACAAAATGCTTAAACACATTTGATCCAAAAATGAGAAAACCGAGTATTCTAGGGTGGATGTGGAATCCGAAGTTAATGTGGCAAGTACTTAACCCAACTCCATTATAAGTTAATATGTATTTGTATGTATAGCAAATGTATTATTTAAGTGAATATTTGACGATCTAGACATGAATGAATTGAACCACTATGAGAGTAGAGAAACATACAAAATAATACCTAACTATCATTATAATTAAGGTCACACTTCATACGTACAAGCGACCCATAGATAGATTTTTCAAAATCTTACTAAGGCTCACCAATACAATGACGCTCTCTATTGTTGTATGTACATGTTATTCATTGCCAGTTCTCTTCATTATTTTCTTTTCATTTATAATATTCAGTTTGATAATCATCGTATATGTTTTTATGATCTTACCTATTTAAGTTATGTACTCATAACATCCATTGGAATTCATGGTCCTGATTTTGTATCCACATCGATAAGCTATTTAAATCATCGAGGCATATATGTACATACATACACTTCTTACATACATACATGGGAAATAAGCATTCGATATTTATGTTTTGAGAGTGGCATTTCAAAGATGTTATCGGCCGATATACTTGCAATAGCATAGGCTTAGGTATGGAATGTAGCCATACAGTACAATACAATAAATACAATACAAACCTACACACCCATATATAAATGTATAGACATAGATACATACATGTGTACCTAATTCCAAATGGTATTTTGTTATCCGACATATTATTCATTACATATTCATAATTGTTTGATTTTTACAGTCCCAGTTGATGTATCCAAACACAAACATACATACATAACTACTTATACGCGCAGACACACACACATACCCTTTATTACCCTTAATCCAAGCCAATATATATATATATATATATATATATATATATATATATATATATATATATATATATATATATATATATATATATATATATATACCTATCTTAATACTATACTATACTATACTATACTATTATTCTAATGAAATTGATTAATAACGCTTATTCTTAATATATGTATATACTGGCGCACATACATTACACACACACAGTCACAATGGGTTGCGTACAGCAGTCTGTCGACTCAGCAGTGTGGCGTGGCCATATTGGGAAATTGATCGTCTGAAGGTATTGTGCTCGCTCTGGTCGAGTGCGCGCCAAATTTTAAATGTGAAATTGAAATCGGAAAAATGCCGCCCGCATTTTGTGACTGATGCAAGAACAGCTCTTTGCGCAACCTATATTGTGACTTAATGTGAACAAAACTTTTGATGTATGTATGGCCGTATATATATTTATTTATATAGGATGCATATACATACATATATACACTTATATGTGTGTATTAAATCCATGCAGTATCTTTTATGGCAACCACACTTAACTGACTTCAACCTGTATATTTCTTTTCCCACTTATTGTTTTCCTTTTTACTTTTTCTCTTCAATTTTAAAGGTAATAGGCGGCGAGTTGCAAGAACGCTTGATACCGGTTCCCTATAGCAAGAGCAACACTGATCAAGCTGTAAGCCCTTCTTTATTTTTATCTAAATTTATGTACACAACGCCAAGACCATGCAAAGACTAAAACATCAATTTCACCAAAAACAAGAGCGGTTTCAAGTTAGTTTCGTCCGATTCGAAGACACTGAAGATATTAAAGCAGTCAGCTTTCGATAGCTGCTCCGTATGTTATGAGCGATTCATCGTTCAAGCACTGCACGGATATCCGTATTGTCTGCTTGCCTTAGAATGGCAATCGACAGAAGTTTAAAGATTTTACCTGTAAAGTTATTAAGCAAGAAAAAATAATTTCCTAACTGATATAACGACAAAAAATGATTTGTTTGGTGATAGTTGACAAAGTGTAGAAGTTCGGCCGTGCCGAAGGTCCTTTTAATGTTTTCATGATCATCCGCATTGGATGCCCTGATTTATCTAAGAATCGCTCGTCACTGGCATAGCATGGCCTGGCATGGCATGGCACGGCATGACATGGCATAGGATTGGACACCATAATGGATCCCGTCTGTATCTTCGCATTGCATGCTCTTACAATTAAATGAAATGGTGTGCCAATCCTGCAGCTAAGCTATTCGACTAGCTTTAAAACCAGTTTTCTTTTGATGCATTTTTAATGTATTCTACTCGAATGTTACTGTTGGCAATGTAATTTCAACCATTTTGATTTTATTTTTCGAATTATTCTGCTGGCTACTGCATGTATTAATTTTTTCATTCACTCACTCCCTCTTCGCTTGTATTGTATGTACATATGTGCTTAAACATATCCCAAACTGTGCAGAGTTTACTCTGTGGCTCTATGTCCGTCACACACACACACGCTGACACACTGACACGTGTATATATGTATGTGTATATATGAACATATGCACGTATATCAATATATATAGCCTGCAAAAGCGATCGCCTCAAACGATAGTTTTTGATAGTCATGCAGCTTTAATACACAAGCAAACGGACACACGCCAATACACACCCAAAAACACACGTACACCCATTGCTGTGTTTATGTTACATTTCTGGTTTCCATTTTTTGGTTTTTATACAAATATATATAAATATATATATGTATTAAAAGACTATATACATATATGTTACGTGTTTTGCATATGATTTTTTCAGTTGAATGACAACTAAAAAATAATAAAAAAATAGTAGTATTCTTTCTTATACTGTTGTTTCCTGTCTATCTTGTCACTGTTCTCGGTGTTGTTCTTTTCTTTCTAATTGACTTGTGCTTAGATTCGTGTGGTGAACGCCTTCCGGCAAGGTCTTGACGCCCGCTACGGTGAGCACACCAACACTTCGCTGGCAGAGGTGCTGCGCAAGCAGACTTCGCTGAGCAAACGCCTGTCGGAGACATCTTCCATTGATTATGCCGATAACATACCCGATGAGCTGACCATACCCGAAATCGACGTTGAGCGGTTATCATCGCACAGTCACACCGAGACTGCTGTTTAGATGGCAAAACGACAACTGTTGCACTAACCGTTACCGTTACAGCCACACTAATACAGTCATCCAATTGCCTACCAATCATACACACACTTATACCCACATGAGCATACACATATGTTGCATACACTCGTAAATAAATTCATCATTGAGCATACAAATTAACATCTTTAAAGCAACAGATATAATGAAAATACTTACAGCTAAAACAAACAAAAAATAAAAATAAGTACAATTTGTGCACACATTATGGTTTAGTAAGCGAACTAGACATTTTGGGAGTACAATTGGTCAGGTTTGAGAGCTCCAAGACAAGACAGCGTCAGCATTAGCAGCAACAAGAACATGTTTCATCCGATAACAGCGCTCGACAACTGCCACAATAACTTTGGAATTCAGCATATGATGTAACACGCCGCACTGTACTAATTCATAGTGGAATATTCGTATACATATTTATTAATGATACAATAAAGAAGTAAATACACACTCATACAAATACACATACACACACACACACATATATATATATATATATATATATATATATATATATATATATATATATATATATTATATATATATATAAATACATACATACATACAAATGTAAGCAACAAAACTAAATTCGAGTGGCCTAAAAATACTGAAAGTTTAATAACTTATACATTATCCATACATACATACACACTATGCACACAAACATATGTATGTATATGTGTGCGTACATAATGTAACATTGCCATTACACATTACACACCCGACTCCCCAGCCCACGACCCACACAACAGATAGACGATTGAAAAAAACCAAGTGCGTTAAAGCCATGTCGCCTAAAATTAAGTCATTAATATTATTATTACATACATATAACGAATAAATGATCAAAAACGAAACAGCCTTGCTTGTATTATTTAATGGAATTATCCCAACGGGAACAACAGCAACATGCATTCGCAAGTGCTTGCCCTTAACCATAGCAATGCTCCTTACATCAACAGAATTGAACATATGTATGTATATACATTTTGAGTAAGTAAAAACAGCCATGACTACGGTTAAGAGACTTAGTAGGTTGCGCAACTGTTAACTAACAGTTCTGCTGGTCCCGTCACAGTTTCGATTTATGTTATGCTAAAAATGCTGCACATCATGTTTTTGGCAACTAATGGTTATGGATAGTGGTAACTCATCCATATTGAGTACAATGGTAGAAAGAAGTTCTAGAAATCCCGTCATGTGTTGCATGGTGAATGGTATAACTTAACATTTCTATTGAATTAACAGTAAATTGTACAATTAGCCTTAGCTTAAATCTTATATACAAATTATGCATTAGCCATAGAAAGTCTACTTAGGCTATAATATAGTTAGGCTAGGCAACTAATGCTATTGCCAGTGCTAATGTTGATGGCCGAATGTGATCACCAGTGGCAGCAAAGCTCCGCAAATCATGATTATTAGCTCACTGTACCGCAGACCTTGACTGACTGTGGGCAAGTCACAAGGAGCGGGTGACTCTCGAGATTCCTCTAGCATATGGTATTCGTGTTGGCCCTTACGATGAAGATTGCTGTTGTGCCCGCCTTGCATCAGTTCGGGCAATACGTGCACCGTTGCCACATACAAAAAGGTGCCAGCAGAGAAGAGCATCGCGATTCCAGTGGCATTCACAGAATTAAGTGTCTCCTTTTGCTCCTGCCCTATGCCAAAATAGGTGAGCAGCGTTAGCAGTGGAGCTGATAATGAGAATATGCCCAGATGCTTTCGAATTTGCTGTCGTTCCACTTTGTCGTGCAGCAAAAAACTAACCAAGCCGAATGCAGCTGGCGCCTTATGCAGCATTATGGCTAGGAAAACAATTATTTCAACATCCTGGTGACTGGTGGTTGCAGCAGCACCTAACGCCACCCCATCAGCTGAAAACGTCAAAGGTCAGAGGAAAGGGGTCAATTATAAAATATTTGATAGCACCTGCTGCGTGCACCACTAATCCGAGAGTAGCCGTAATATTTTTCTCATTTTCGTTGCCTTTGCTGCTTTTACGTTGAGAAACTTGATCCACGAGCATCATAAAAACAAAGCCCAACACCAGAGATAATCCAATTGTACGCGAATAGTCGTGTGCCTTGTGTGTCTCATTCACGCCGGCTGCATTAAGTTTCGCTACATCATCCATTGGTGCAGCTGCTGCTGCTGGGGCTTGTGGTCCATTACTGTCCATATATAAAGATCGAATGCCTTCTGGTATAATTACTGTTAAAGCAGTGCCAACTAACAAGCCAGCGCCGAGTACTGTAACGAATTTCAGTTTTTCCTGAATTGACAATGTAATCAATGTTTTTGATATAATCTGGCTTGAAATATCATATCTGGCAATATGTATATACCTCACTTAATTTCATAACAAGGGGTATGCTTCCTGCTAGATAGGATCCAACTAGCATCACAATTACCAATAAAATTAATATAATTGTTTCTTCAGTCATTTTGCACTCTCTGTTTTATGTTTGCCAACTCAACTATTTGTTTTTCTTTTAAGACAGTATATTTTCAAATGAAACTATTAGTATTTTATTGTTTATAACATGCAGTCACTTTTAAAATCGGTATTTTCACAATGAAAATATAGTATTTTATTTCCGACATTCCAACGAAAACCACATTGGTGTGTACTTAAATGAACACAGAAAAAAAAATAAATTAAAATAAAATTAAGAAATTTAATGCACTATTATATATTTACTGAAAAAAATTAGAATTTATTAAATACGCTGAAAACATTCAGTAAGTGCAGAGACTTTTCCCGACATTTCACTTTGTCATCGCTAAAATGAATGTGCCGTATTATTTACAATCGATGTCTATGAATAGTAGATTTAAACACCATTATCGTTAATGTTATCGATGTTTTTTCAACTTTCTGACAAAAAAAAATTAGCAGTCGATTTTAAAAGGCAGTGTTTACCCCAATCCTTGGTAATAAGGTGAAAATTTTGCGCGGATCTGTAAGTTTCAACATGTGCAAAAATATATATATTTCAATATATGTATATATCTATCTATCTATAAGTAAAATATATATTCCTGTTAAGTGTGTTTGTGTGTGCGTAAGTAAATGATTAGCTATTTATTTACATTTTAAGTTGTTCGCAAACAACTTTAAATGTTGGTTAAGAAACTTTGCAAATATCTAAAATTGCAGACGTATGTTAAATTTTTGCTAAAAGAGTCGGTCCATACGTTTTTAAATATATAAGCATACATATGCACATATCTACACACATGCATACTTTTTTTGCAGTTCACTATCTGCACGTACATAAATACGTATATAAACATCAATTCATTTATTTCGATAACAATAATAATGATAATTATCAAAAATGTTTTACATGAATTTACAAATAGAGCGTATATATTTATATGTATATTTACCATTATTTTCTTTTGTAGTTGAATTACAATGGGTAATTGTCTGAAAATTAACAGTTCCGATGATATTTCCCTACTGCGAGGCAGCGACAGTTTTATCGGTCAGGATGGCGGTCCAATGCCAATTTATCAGGTATGATCTTGATGATGTTGATGTTGATGATAACAATTTTTTAATTTTTGCCTGCAGCATGAGCCCATAACCCAAATGTTTTACCCGGCCTCATCTAGCAGCCCAGGGGCTGTTGCTGCTGCTAGTGGTACCAGCAGTCACTTGCCAGAGGAAGATCAGATAAAAATAGCAAAGCGCATTGGACTCGTTCAACATCTGCCCATTGGCAGCTACGATGGAAACTCGAAGAAGGCACGCGAATGTGTAATTTGCATGGTGGAGTTTTGTGTAGACGAGGCTGTGCGCTATCTGCCTTGTATGCACATCTATCATGTCCACTGCATCGACGACTGGTTAATCCGGAGCCTCACCTGTCCCAGTTGCCTGGAGCCAGTAGATGCGGCGTTATTAACTAGCTATGAAACAACATAGCCTACTCAACACTATTAAGAAATACAAGGTTTTTTTTAAGCGTGAGAACTATATAATTGTTCTGAAAAAAATCAACAACTGTTAACATAGCGCCAGACCGTATATTATACCGTCACACTCGTGTCTTTCGAAAAAATGTCAAAAATAGCGGATCTGTTCTTAGTGCAACCTACAGACAACAGTCACGTGACACTTACAAGTTAATCGAATTAGAGGTCACCAAAGTTTGTGTTTCCTTTAAAAAGGATGGCAACCAGACTGCGCGAGCAGTTAGCGGTTAGCTATTGCTTTTAATAGGGGGAGGGAGGGGGTTATATTATTCTTATTCTAATATATTCTGTTTGCAATCAGGTTTTAGTTGTTTAATTTTTGATTAGCCTTGATTTTAATTTGACAAACATGTATTTATGAAAAATAATATCAGTGATAAAATCGGTGTACATATATAATTCAATAATTGTTCATATGTATAATTCAATAATTGTGTAAACCTTCTATACAATGTAGATATAACTTATACATTAATAAATATATAAATCCTTTACGTATTGAAAATAATTTGTAATTTAATTAAAACAAAATTGAGTATTTTATTTTGCATTGTCTGTCGAACCGCTCATCTCTATATGTGACGATTCTCTATGCATACATGGTAGCACCTAATCGTGTCACAACAACAATAATCGCATAAGAAGCGAACAATCGTATGTTCTTCGTGTATTTCGTTTCTCATCACTCTCTGCGGTGCATTTTAACAGTTTCTTATTTAGCGAAATAGAGTTATTTGCCTTTTTTCTCATATTCACGCTTTTGTGTTTAAGGGCTTTATCAGTGCCGACGGACAAAGTAAGCATAATATTTGAAACGAATAGTTCTATCCCAGAATAGTTAAAGCAGGACTTGATTTTTTTTTTAATTCAGCAGTTTATATATTTTTTTTAATTGTTTATCTGGATCCGTTGAGATGGTAAAAAGTCCCCATTTACAAAATGGTTATTGCCCTCTTGCTTTCAGTTTGTAAAATGCGCAAGCATTAATATGACTCAAATAACGCTTAGCAGACGTTATTCATAGGCTGAGGAGGTATTAAATAATTCTCATGTAAAAATGTATAACAAAATAGGCTCCTATAATCTGAACAAACTGAGAAGATTGAAGGCAGTCAGTCTCGCCATGTGTATCTACATTTAAATATAGTCAATTAGCCAAAATGTTGTTTTTAGTTGCATTTTATTGTAACGACTTTTGTATAGGGATATATATTTATATATATGTGTGTAACATGTCAGCAATCGGTTCTTTTAGTCATCAAAACTAGATGAAAGCAAGAAATTAGCAGCAAGCTCCTCATCCTTTTCACATGCAAAGTAGGCTTGCAAAACAAGCGCTTCCGGGAATCCAAGCGCCTTAAGCTGGAAGAATTGTGTTAAGATTGTAAATCAATGAAAAATGAATTATTAGAATACACTAAGCTGCAACACAGTGTGAAAATAAGAAACACACAGATAGATTAAATATACAGAAGAAGAAACTATTGTGCATCGTAGTCACATTTGCCTCTTTTTAGTTAATACTACGTACCCGCTCTATAGCGTCTTGATCTTGTGGTGTTAGACGAATAGTTGCCAGGTTTTCGGTTTGTACATTTCTTCCCGTGGCAACCGAATCATCGCCATCAGCGGCAATTGCAATTGAATGGTTATCGGAGCCAGCAGCAGAGCGTTGACCTTCTGCAGTTGCCTCTTGGCTGGGGTTGGTTGCGGTTGAGCTCTCCGTTCGTCTTGGATTCGATGACTGTGTTCGACCACAGTCACGCCCGCCCGCCTCGTCGTCAAGGGGCTGATTCAACATATTTAGAAACGCATCTTGGTTCTCAGAAATAAGTTGTAGAAGAGCTGGGTTTGTTTGACCAATCTAAGGTAAAAAAAAAAAATAAAAAATAAATCGCAATTGAAAGTTTCTGATATTTGTGTGTGTCACCTACCTGTTGCAGAACAGCATGTAAAAGGTGTGGATTTTGGTATATTAAAGAGCGCATCTGTAGGAATTGCGGTTGACTGCGTAGAAACTCGAATGGATCTAGAATATAAGATCATATAATTTATTATATTGTATATGTAGATGTATTTATATATTTACCAGCTGGCGATTCAGCCGGCAAATCACTTGCACCACCCTGAAGAAGATTCCTTTCCACTCTGGCAGGTTCTTCCTCATCACCTGGATTAAATAAGTTCTCATCCTGTGGTATGCCGTTAATTAAATATTCGACAGCACGTTCGGGATTATTAAAGCTGGCTGCCATTGCTCGTTCAACTTGCTCCCGGGGATAGCCCATTTCGACCATTGAGGCAACAGTGCGGTTGAACTCTTCGCCCATTAGTAAGTTGGACTCGGCGCGTGTTTGTAGTGAGGCATTTGCTAGTTCACCAACTAAATCAATGCTTGAATAATCAGTTGTGGCAGCCGTCGAAACAGCTGAAATCGGAACTGAAGCGGCAGTCGGTATTTGAGTTGTGGTTGAAGGTCCAACTTCGGTGCTTTCTATCTCGACTCCTACAATGTCACTTGTCATTTTATTAGTCTTTATTCCCATCTCAGTTGAGGATGCACTTGTGTTCTGCAGAGCAGGTTTCTTATCTATTTTGATATTTGATGAGCTTTCCATTTGCTCATTGGACTGCTTGCGCTGTTCATCGGTATTTGTTTGGATGCTGCTGCTACTACTAGCTCCGCTTATGTCGCGACTGAGCATTACTACGATGAACTTTTTTTCATCCACTTTATATGAACTAATTGTTCGCTCATCTGTTAGTATGACACCTTAAAAAAATACATACATATATATAATTGTATGTCCATTAGTTAGCGTCAACAAACTAGTTAGTTAGATTTTCATACCAGCATAAATCAATTTTTGCTTCTCCACAAAATATTCTGTACCACGTTCATTAAAAATTTGTTTTTTAAGCTCCAAAACCTATAGAGGAGACATTAATACAATTGTATATATGCACATGTGTATGTACGTATATATGGTCGGACAATTGATTCGTGTGCGAAGAAAAAATGCAATTTACCGTTTTCTCGGGATCAAAGTCAATTGTGAACGTTTGCTGCTGAAGATTCTTTACTGTAATAATCATTTTCTAAATGTTTTTTTATTTTAGATTAAATTGTTATTTTTAATTTTCGCCTTGCTCTCTTTTTCTCACAAAAATGTTTGTCATCGACACTAGGGATGGCCTAAAATATAATATCGAATATCAAATAAACCGATAATATCGAGAATGTCACATATATAAATTTAAAAAAAATATATTTGACGGATGTCCTTAAGATATGAAAGGAATCGCTAATAACTGTCATGTTTACTAACATATGATTATATTGACCATCCCTGTTAGTAGAAAAATATCGTATTCCTTTAACTCTGGCAGTACTGATGTTACTAACTGCAGTTTAAATACTAAACTATATTTGTACCTCAAATATATTGTCCCTTTAAATAAGAAAATACTGATTTTAATTACATATTTGGAATATATTAATATAAAAACATATTTAATTAATAAAGTAGGTATTCATTAATTTAGTAATTTGTATAAATCTGAAAATACTGATTTTACTTACAAATTTGTAATATATTAATATACAAATATATTTAGTTAAAAAAGTAAGTATTAATTTATTTATTTATTATTTGGTATTTTTATTTATAAATAAGATTACAAAAAATAACAGCCTGGTCACACTCAAGTAACTATCAGTTGGTTATGCTAATTAACTGTTAAAGCGAGTTTTTTGGCGCGCATGCGCCAATTTACGCACACAGGCAGAATTATACAATACAAAATAAGTTTTTCATCCGTACCGAACAAGTGACAAAGAACAAGCTTAATTTTGAATTGTTAAATTGCAAATAGCAACGCGCAGAGTTAATATGCCTAATACATTCGTATATCTACAATACTTGCCTTCAAATGTTTTTACTAACGATACGGTAACGGTAACAAATCATTTTTTTTGCAATTAAGCAATCCAATTTTTAATCTCGAGCAGTAAGTTTACATTGTTAACAAATCAATTGTTTTATATTTGCATTGTGCGTATCAACAAACTTGCGTGCTATTAACCAGTGGGTGGATAAAACTTCCACCTAAACTAAAAGTGATTAAAATATGGTTATCTTAACGATACATACTATATACATATATATGTATATATATAAATAAATATACATACATATATATACATATACATATATATATATATATATATATATATATATATATATATATATATATATATATATATATATATATATATATATATATATATATATATATATAACAACGCATGTATATATAATTTAAATTTAAAAATAATACAAAATTGAAGTGTAGTCCTAAATTAAATATAAATTTCAATAAATAATGTTATTCTTTTCTAATATAATAATAAAACATATTGTTTGCAAATATAAAAAGAAAATTTGCAATTAAATGAGTAAATTTAAGCATAAATAAAATAAAACAGAGTAACATAAATAAACACAAAAATATAAATAATTTTTTATTATTAAATAATTTGTCTTGCAATTCAAAATTTTAGCATACATTAAATTGAATTTATTTTGTGAATGTTATTTTTAGTGTCAATTGAGTTAAGATTTTATCAAAGAAACTAGGTAAGATGTAGTCTTTTCAGATGTACTTTTCCTCAGTAGGGGAGTGAATATTAGATATTTAGAAATTGTTAACAGTCTACGGCGCCTAAGCTGCCCCCAAGCTTTCAAAACATGACGTTTTTCGTGGATATATTTTGGTAAATAATTATATCTTTAATGATAAATGTAGCATACATCTATCTTTTAAAAAATCACAGGTCCTGTGCTAACCGCCACTCAGTCATTTCCGATTTTCTACACCTTTCGTAGGCATCAATAAGTTGCTGAGGTCAACAATAATGTACTTCCGAATCGCCATGCTTCTAATCGGAGAAGATATATATATCGACTATAGATTTGAAGTCGGGAGCTCTTGGCATTAGTATGTACGGAGGGCCATTATTGAGAGTCAGAGAGTGTTTGCACTCATTATTTTGTATATAGAATAAAATTAGGTTAAGATTAAATATCATTTTTATAAATATATATATAAAGGGTATATAGGTGCAGATCTATATTTCTGATTCTTAACATATAAAAAAGAAGATATTCTAACACTGAGCCTTTGCCTGATTGATTGATTTGCAGAAAGTTTTCTGATGTCGAGTAGGCAATAAGATGCCATATGCTCTTCTTGAATTCCAATTGAAGAAAAAGTGTCTGAAAGAGAAGCAGAAATTCTTGGATGAGTTCGATGAGAGCAGAGCACTATCAAATAACTGGCTGGGCCTTAGTGTTTCAATAAGAGTACAACTACAACATAAAACATGACGGTAAGAAATGTGCACAAAATGCAACTGGCACAGATACATATACATATATATACATATATGGACATACATATATATACATATATACTTCATTACAGCATTATGCATGGGACGAAGCATGTTATCATAATAATAAAAACGATGCCTTATCCACTGCTGACAGCCGACCAATTAATAATAGCACCTATAATTATGATGAGTTGCAATCAGGTGCATATGCTGCTTATGACGAAGAATATGGTGTTACGGAGGAGGATTACGCTGCCGACAGTGAAGCCTTTGGTAGCTTCAATCAGAACTATGCGCCCTATGCAACAACGACAACAACAACATTAGCTACAGATAATATGGCAACGGGCGGGGCGGACTATTGGCAAAGTAGTTATGGAGTTATGGAAGCGTCTGGCTATGGGTACAACTCAACAGGAGCCTCGCTGAATGGTTCCACAATGCGAACTGAAGGTACGTACTCGAGAAGAGGTAATCGCGTTGGCTGCCGCTTGCCAATGGCCCCTGCTATCGATAATTCCAAATATCGTATGTTATCGCAACCGATTGCCTATACCCAAAATGTTTTAAATGAACATGCGGTCTATGCAGACGAGAGAATAGGAAGTTTTATCAGTTTGCCAGCGGCGGCGCCAATGCGAATGTTACCCGATCCCCAGCCGAGAGTACGCAACAACACCTCACAACGATTATTTGAAGATAACAACAGCTTAGGCTGTATATCAACAACAATAACAACAACATCAACCACAGGGACCAGTCAGACCTACGATGTCTTTAGTCAAATGTCGCGACCCTACACATCTATGCTGCCCCTCGATTATGGCGACTATTCGGACTATGCTTACAATTCGGACAATTTGTCGGCGTACAGCGACACACCCCCCATGAGCAATGCCACACAGCTTAAGCTGCAGCAACAACGCAAGATTTCACTTATGTTAGCAATGACAACAGCGTCTGTGATAGCATCTGGAGAGACAAGGATACCCGTACAGCAACAGCAGCAACAGCAACTACCCAACTCATCTAGGCGCAATGATAATAATAGCTATTCAATATCTAATCGAAATATGAGCATTGCATCAACTTCGGCTAGCACAACAAACTCCTCAGTTGCCTTTACCAATGATACTACATTAACTTCAGCACGATGCTCAAATACAACGACGACGGCTACGATGACAGCCACGACGATGACGACGACGACTTCAACTAGAAAATTGCCAAAACGTCTACCGTCACCTGCCGTACCGTACAAATCATCGTCATCAATAGCACCCGAAGTCCTTACATGCAATCCACTAGTAACTCCAACTCAAGCTCCAACTCATCGAGCAAAGCAGTTACCCAAGTTGCCCACGCTCAAAACAAAAGCCACTCCTAGCGCAGTTCCTATCCAAGATTCAGCAATTGTTGTTAGCTCATCGCCAGAGAGATTGACCTCTATGATTTATATTGATGATACCAATAACTTTGCACAGCAGCACCTGCAAGAGCCACAGCAGCTGGACCAAGAGAAGGAGCAGGTGGATCACGCAGTTAATAAGAACTATAGCGAGAATCAATTCGATGAACAGAGACATCAGAGCGATGTACCTAAATCGTTTGACTCCTTTAGAACCTGGTCCCCAGCCTCTTCAACATTACCCGATTCGCCTGCATTGCATCCCCGTGACTTTTCTAGTCTGCTTGAGTGTAATGTAAATGCCTCATCCCAAGTTAAGTCATCATTAGAATCATCTCTAAAGCAGCCCCTCTCAATATCAACCAGAAGTCATCAAAATTCGATTTTCACAACCACAGCAAAAACAAGCTTAACCGAAGCTAAGAGATCATCATTTGACATATCTGAATATTTAAAACCTTATCAATTCGATTCCCTTAAATTAACATCTGAAAACAAAAACGAAAACGAAAACGATAACGAAAATGAAAATGAACATAAAAATGACAGTCAGACCATAATTTGCACTGGCCCAAGGAATACATATGATGCTAGAAAGAACGAATCATTGGAATCATTTCAATTAAACTCATTGGAAACACAAATGCCAAATTTCAATACAAATCTTAATTCAAATTCAATTACCACTTGGATAACTAGCAGTCCCATTAATATTGAAACACCATTGAGTGAATCTTCATCCAGTGTATCTTGTCTATTAAGCAAACCCGTATTAATCATGGAACAGGAAAGGGAAGAAGCTAAACAGTCTAATTTAAAACTTGCTCACGGTACAGTCACAACTCTAAGCCACTTGAGTAACGTGTTCACAACAACTGTTATTCCGTTTAGTCTATCGACAATTGATATTACTAGCACTAGTTCAGTATGCAATATTGTCGATTCGCCTACGATATCCTACGTAGATTATATGAAAAAGTTTGAGCTACCTGAGCTACCGGAGCTGTCGCCAATTTTTGACATATATAGCGTAACAACGACTCAAGCTCAGTATGTGCCCACGCTAACAGACACATTGACACCAACTCTAACCGCCTTGACTACTCAGAATAAGGATATAGTTTCCAACAGAACAGTAGAGTCAGCAATTGGACAGCAGCAGCAATTGGAATTGAACAGCTTTAAGACTAATGAAAATCAAGTTGAAACTTCTAGGTGGCCGCCGCCTAGTCTAACTACTCCAGCTAGTCCCTCGATAAACACATCTTTAGCTGATATAAACCTAATAAACTCTGAGCTCAGCTCCACAGTGGATACAATTAGCTCCTATTCACAGCAGTTCGAATCACAAACGGAAAAGTTAGTGGAAGAAGAGACAAAAGAAACTTTGTTTGGCACA